AGCAGGAGAAGATAGATGGGCAATTTCTTTGACAGAAGCAGAGTTCACTATCCAGATTCTGAAATGAATCAGTTCTCAAGCAATGCAGTTCCTCTTCTGCAGCTGATCCGTATTATTTACTGCACTCCAGAGGCTATAAGAGAGCCAGACAGTATGCTGTATTTTGTTATAAGTATGTCGCCAGTTTTAATTTCAAGTTCTCATTTAAACCTTCTGTTGCTTGCTGCAGAGGATGAAGGCATTTTGTAAAAAGTGAATCCAGAGATTAAATTTAGAATGTGAAGAATTATTGTGCGTGCAAATTAGCTGTAAATCTATTTTCTAAATCTACTTTGAAATTCTCTGCCTTTATTCAGGAATGGCTTTTGGAAGTAGCTTCCTGGTAGAAATGCAGACCTCTATGATTCTCTTGCACGTGAAACTTAGGCTTCATGTTAAGTATCTTGAGTAGTGAATGTGTGGCATAAGTCAGTTTTTGAGATGACCGTGTTAGTGCTGTGACAGAAGCATGCTGGGGATCAGACTTGTGTCTAGTGAAGAGTCTGGTCTGCCACAAGCAGCATCATTAATCCTACGTCTCTCATCCTGCTACTAGCTAGATTCAGTCATTGATCATACTTCCACATCTGCTTCAGTATTTATAACCTCCCTTATCTGAGGGCCAAGGGAATGCTGCGTGTGAGACTCAGTGATTCAGCTGATTTTGAACTGGTAGTATATTTACATTTGCTCCTGCAACTTTGTTGTAATAACTCTGAGAGGTTAATTGAGAAACGGTGGCAACTCCTTCACTGGTAGCTAGAACAAAGTAAGCTCTGCTATGAGCATCTGTGTGAAGTAAGCTAAGCTAAAATAGGTATCGTTAAGGTACTCAGGCTGTGAGCAGTGTGGTGTGCTCTGAGAAGTCACAAAGTTATGCCTTTATTTTATTCATTTACACACAGTTGCAAAGTTACTATTTAAGCACTGAAGTAAACTTTAACAGTGAGGGTAATTACATAAACTGAAGATTTCATCTTCATCTGATCAGCAGAGCCAAAGATCTTCAGTCTGGCTAACCATTTTTTTGGGGAAGACAACATTTCAACTCTGCAATCTAAAACCTTTTAAGTCAAGAAGGGAAAAGCTGTGGAGAGGATAATCATGTCCATATAAACACACCCTATTAGATAGTAATTGCTGGGAAATTCTGACCAATTTTTGAGGAAGAGCTAGATTTTCCTTTGGATGAAAACAGTTTGAACCCAGAGGGCTCTTGTGTTATAGAAATAAAATAGGTTGGTAATCCAAGAAGACAAATATTAGAGCATCTTGTGTAGATGTACTTGGACTACAGTGATAAAGGACTGACGCAGATCTCTTCCTAGCAGCCGAATCCAGTGGAGCAGCGTTACATGGAGCTCCTTGCATTGCGAGATGATTATATGAGGAGACTTGAAGAACTGCAGATCACAAATAACTCTAAGATATCCAACTCATCGGCCTCGTCAACGTCTCCCTCACAAATGATGTCCCAAGTACAAACACAGTTTTGAAGAAAACGCTGGCTTCTTTCTATATCGTAACAGCAAGTGGTGCTTAACATAGATCTAGAGTATAAAGAAGAGTATTTTAATGCCTTACGTTAGATTGTCCTAACAAAGTATTTTGGACTGTCTTCATTTGAGGAGGACTTCAGAACAAAAGCAGCTCTTCCATTACGTGCCTTTCGGAACCTGTAAGCTGGGAACAGGAATAATCAACTGGTAGTCATGGAGTACTTTAGAGTTATTCTGGAAAGCCTGGTACAGTTTGAAATGAAATTGATTTATTGTTTTCGTAAGAATGCTTTAATTTATTATGCTGTAGGTCTGTTCTTCCTGCAAGGGAATTCATGCTCAGTCTTGGATGTTGTGAATAAAGCACACTAACACAAAGAGGAATATTCACACCGTGTGGAAGCAGCCATGTGTCCATTCCTGCGAGGAATACGGCTGAGGACTTCGTGAGCCAGAAATAAATTACATGGCAAGATTTCAGAGAGAAGTTAAAAAGTTTAAAATGCTCTGGTTGTGTGAGAAATCCAGATTTTCCTGCCTCAAAATAAATGAAAAGATGGAAGGATATACTTTTAATTTAACAGTGCAGATAGCCCCGTAGGTATTAAAAGAAATTATTTTTTTATTGTATTTTTTTAACAGATGACAGTTGCTCTGGATTCTGAGAGGTCCTGTTTGGGTTAACTGCTGAGCATTGCAGTATATTACAAATTATCACTGTTGGCTGCGTTGGCTTTTTGGATTAATACAGGACAAAACATTTCTAAATAAGGTTTATATAATTAAAAACAGATCCACAGGGACATTACTTAAATATCCAGCAACAGCCATCGTGTTGAAGCTTGAGTACGTCTTATAAAAATAAATGTGCCTGTTCAGAGGAGCTTTTATACCAAAGTAGGCAAAAGAAGAAAATACATCAGTTCTGAATACTGTTGAAAACTTGTAAATTTATAGTTTGCCATTCAGTGTATATTTAACTTTTGTTTAATGAATTTATTCTTAAATATTTAAAGGACTTCAGTATACGAGATTTGCATATAGTGTGTGCACTTACACTGAACCTTCCACTGAGTTCTAGTTTTTGGTCTTCATTTCAGAGGCATTTTGTAAACCTTTAACTTGTTCTTTTCAGGTATTTTTTAATAGTTGCAAGCATTTCTTATGACAGACAGACCTTGCTACTTGATATTTAATTAGGATTTTGCATATTCTCATAAGTTTAATGATATTCAAGCAATCCAGGAAATTTTGCAATTCTGAATTTGTGGAGGACTCTGATGTTGTTGTTTTAAATGAAATGTCCTGATGCTTGAGGCTTCTGTCACTGTAAATTACTGTACATGCGGTGGGTTTTGATCAGCAGGATATAATAGTATTATATATAAATTAAGTTTTGTGTAAGTATACATAATATAGTTTATTAGAAATTCTGCGAGATTATAATGTGTAAATATTTTGCATATGAAGAGTAAGTTTAAAGTGATAATTCCATAGAGTCAAACTTTAGAGGACATCTGAGTATTTTTAGGAACAGTATTTTTTCAAAGGAATAAAGGTGTACTGCCTCTTGATTTGCTTCAGTATATACACTGAGTTGCACTTTTTCTTCAGGGAAGCTCAGAGCATACTGCATGTGTGTTCTAAATGCATATGATTATTTTTGTCCTCTAAATTTCATTCTCCCTTCTGTATCTTTCACTGTGTTTCCAAAATAACATGAAACGCCATGATCCCAAAGCTTGGCTTGTTGAGATGGACGTGATACATTTATTTCAGAGGAAGGAAGATACTCAGTTGAGATACACTTTTGGAAGCTATGCATACTCTGGTATCTTGCCTTTTACTTGTAGTTTGTGTATGTACTCAGAACATATAGATAAAGCTAATTTTATTAGAATGTTTAATGTTTCTGTATTTGAGTTGAATATGTTGGTGACATCTCTGAGCAGTGTGGGGAAGTTTGGAAAATACAATTTTACTGTGTAAACACTACATGATAACCTATGGCTGTGGGGAAGTGTGATATAACAGAAGGGATCTTAATGCACTTTGTTCATTACATATCTTCGATTATTCATATGACTCGTTTGGTTGAATACCATTTTTAGAAGCTCTCTAGCATAGCTGTATTTGGGCTTTTTTATTTTAAGTTTGCAGATAAGGTACTACTACTTAATTCTGCTTTGTCATGGTAACGTTAATTACACAAACATAAGGATGTTTTTAATCCAATACCTTCTGGAAAATGCTACTCGAGAACTGTGGTGAATGTAAGCTCAGAAATGGATCAGTGCTAACAGGAAGCTCCTTTCCATTTAAACGAGCGGAACGGGCTGTCATTCTGCCGAGTGACGCCAGCAGATCCACCTGTGTGTACGGCTGCCGTGCTGCTCGGCTTTGCGAGGCAGCTGCCTGTTACCTTCCTGCTGCAGCTGTGCGAGCCTGGGCCGGGCAGCGGGAAGCTCCCGAGGAACAGGAGATGGGCAACGACTGCCTGCTGGGCAGGAGAGCTGGGCTGTAAAGGGGCAGCAGCTACAGCTCCCAGCTCTGTGAAATGCTGCTCTGAGCTCTGGTCTTTGTTTTTGTTCTACTTTTTGTCACCCTGGTTTGTACTGGAAGACACTGCAGAATGCCTTCTTGCTTTGCTGCGTGCCTCGGCCATCGCAGCATCGCCGTTATGAGTGAACCTGTGGACAATTTGCCCGCTACCTCCGGTGGAAGTACGTCTGAGCTCTGCCTTCGGCTCGCTTCGTGCGCTGTTGTTCCTTCGCTCTGCCTTCGCGTCACGCTTTTGATCCTAGGCGACGACGGAGCCGCGGCGGGGCAGGAGGAGCTCCTGGGCTCCGTCTGCTCCGTACGTGCGCGGAGAAAAGCAATAAGGGTTTCTCTTTCCGCCCGCTCGCCTCCTCGGCCGCTTCCCTCGGCCCAGCCTGCCCCGCTCCGCCCGGCGCCGCCTTCCCGCTCCGCGCGGAGCCACCGCCCGCCCTCGCGGCGCCGCGGAGGCCTATGGGTAAGCCCGGCTGTCGGGTGACAGCTCTCGGCCGGGGCCCGGGCTGAGGCGGCGGGGCCGGGAGGGAGGCCGCCATCCCGGCGGCGCGGGGCGTCCCGCCGGCGGCCGGAACTATGGAGCGGGCGGCGGCCGGGCCGGGGGCCGAGAGCGGAGTCGCGAGCCGGCGGGCCGCGCGGGCGGGGGCGGCGGCGGGGGCCGCATCGCGGCAGGCCAGCGGCGAGACGCTGGACAGGTGAGCGGCGGGCGGGCGGCGCGCTGCGACTCCGAGCTCCGGCACCGCGGCCTGCTGTGCCGTGCGATGCGGCGCCGCGGCCTCCCGGCCCTCCTCCTGCCGCCGGGCCTGGGACCGGCGCTCGGACGGCGCTTCCAGTCTGCGCCTTCACGTTCGTGTCTCCGCGCTAACAAACGCCTCCTCCGCGCGCCGGCCCGCTCAAAGTTCCGTGCCCGCGGCTGGGTGCTGGTCGCGATCAGCGTCATCGGGCCGGAAAGGCTGGGGCTGCCTGTGGGATTTTGGCTGGGATTTGGGGAACCTGCGGAACTTTCCTGAGGCGGTTTTCCTTTGGCAGCCGTTGTTTCACGGTGGGCGGGCAGGCGCAGAGCTCGGCTGAAACAGAGCGGGACTAAATGGAATTCCCCGGGATGAGGGAGAGAAAAGTTAGGAATAATGCCGAGGTTCCATCTCTGTGTTCCGTCGCTTTTCTTTTAGGAGAAACCTCGACGTTCTAGGAAAGCTGGAAATCCTTGCTAAGAAGTCTGTCACTCAAGTACACATCCGTTATTCCTTGCTTTCATGTTTCTTATCTGAACTTTTTATCTGCCCAGAGGGGCTGTGGATGCCCCGTCCATCCCTGGAGGTGCTCAAAGCCAGGTTGGATGGGGCCCTGGGCAGCCTGGGCTGCTGTGAAATGTGGATGTTGGTGGCCCTGCCTGTGGCGGGGGGTTGGAGATTTGTGATCCTTGAGGTCTCTTCCAACCTGGGCCATTCTGTGATTTTCCTCTCCCCCTTGTTGAGCCCTGGACCAGTCTCAGTGCGGCTATGGCCGTACCGCAGTGAGGCACAATGTGACCTGGCACTGCTCTGCCCACAGCACTGAGCCGCACTGCCGGGCTGTGCCGCACCAGGGCCAGGCACCTGCACACCTGCTCTGCCAGCACGGACGTAGCGGGGCTTGCCACAGATCTGCTGTTGAGAAATCTTCTGAAGTAACAAGTAAATGCTCCTTTGGAAACAAGCTTAGACTAACCCTAAAGAGGTATAGCAGAAATCAAGAGGTGGGAAGGAAGGTGAAATGAAGAAGCTCAGCTCCTAAGATTTGTCAGAAAAGCTCTTAAAGATCTTTAATTTCTGGCTATATGCACCTGCCTATCCTAGCAGATAGTGTGAGGAAAGGCCTCTGGCTGTGCAGGGTTTGTAATCTTGTGCTGTCATCCCACCTGCCAGACATCCCAGTTGTGTGTGTGTTCTGCTGGGTATGTGTACAGAGTGGTTGCTTCTGTGTCACACAATGCTCAGATTGTGAATTAATTTCAAAAATGAATTTAAAAATTCGGTTTACGTTTGACTTGGGAATGTTCTTTGTATCTGCACAAGTGCCTAGCGAACCTGTGTGGAGGAGTGGCAATTATCTCCTGTACGAGCTGAGCCTGCAGTGGCTGCAGGTTCCCCAGCCTCCCCGGCTTCCTGTGGGGCAGGCCCGCTTTGGGGCAGTGCTGCTGCACCTCTCCATGGCTGGCAGCTGCTCCCTGCTGCTGGCATTCTGAAACTTGTAAGCCACGCTGGTTCCAGCAGCTGCTCTCCAAATGCATCATCTCAGGTTCAGTGCAGTTCTACTGTTCAGATGCATTGTCTGTAGGGTTCTTGTAGACATCTGAGAGTGGGAAAGCCAGTCTTTAACATTATTTGGAGATTATTATATGAATATATAAAAATGTGGCTAAATTAGAAACTGCCCTTTAGGAAACATGTATTTTCTATGTCCGCTGTTAGTATAGAATGCAACACTGCAGTAGTCTGCCGTTTTAAATGCTAGCATAGAGTGGTTTAATTTTCAGTAGGATTTACTGAACAATCAGGAAATAGCGGTAAAGGTGAGTATGAGGAGTTTCCTGTTAGTTATCCAATTCATTCCATGGATGGCTCTGAGAAAAAAAAAGCATGAATGTTGGAAAAAGAACTGTACTTGGGTAAGGAAGCCAACATTTTTATAAGGCCGAGGCCCATATGCACGCTTTTGGCCCTCTGACAGCTTTACATTTCTGATAACATCCAGTGACATTCTTTTACCTCCTTTGTTTGCTGAAATAATTGCGTTCTGCCCACACAGAAACCTGATTTGTATAGTGTTAACACTCATGTATGGCCTTGTTTTGTATTGCTGTGCCTTGCTATTCTCAATATACATTTTGAATGTGTATGATAAGTGTTGAGTCACGGCCTGAAGCACTGATGGAGCACCTGGGGAGAGGACCTGGTCAGCCCTGGGAGCACAGTTGAAGGCAGTTCAGCTGTGCAGCAGGAAGGGGTGGAGCCTGGCTGCACCTCACTTGGGAGAAGGTTCTCTGGTTGGAGATTCTTCCTTTGGGGAGTCTGTCCTGTGAGCCTAGATCTTCAGAGATGGGTGAGCGCTTTTGAGTGAGCACTTTTCCTTTGTAGCACCATTTTATCTGCCCCGGTCCTTTGCTGTTCCGCTCCTGTACTGCCTCGCCACTGTGCTGACCTTTTTGATTGTAACAGAGTAATTGTTAAACGGCATGAAATGTTCTGTTTCTGTAGCCCTACGGGATCACACGTTGAATGGTGCAAACAGCTGATAGCTGCAACCATTTCCAGTCAGATCTCTGGGGCTGTCCCTTCGGAAGGTGTGTCCAGAGACTACCGGGTAAGTGAGCCCTGAGCAGCGTTCGTTTGGTCTGGATAAGGGTGGGTGGTCAGGAAAGCCCTTGCTGGGTGGTGAGTGCTTCATTGATCTCGGAATGGTTCACAACTAGAAGTGTCTCGTTTGTGCATAGGAATCTTTTGAATCTGTTCTATGTCTTCCTCCATAGTTGGAGCATTGGCATTGAAGTGTGCAGGAGAACAAAAAGCTGTTCTGAATGAAACGCAAAGAATGACTTGGCTTTCTTTTTGATTACTACATTAAACAAAACAACAAAAACAGCTAAAGTGAATTAATTTGTAGGCTGAAATTGCTTTGTGTCATTTGGAGTACCAAACTGATCTCACTGGATTTCACCAGAAATAAATAAGTGCATATGTCTTCATTACTGTTTGAAGAACATGATAATATTTTATCATTTTTCATTGGATTTGACCAAAGAGAGAGAAATTAATGTGAAACTAAACAGCACCTTTTTTTGTTCCTTCCTGGCAGTGTTTTTGTCATTAATGATTGCAGAGCATACCTTACCTGATGGGTTCCGTTATGCTTTTTACACCTGTTCTTTTGTGCTCGTTTGCTGTTTCCAGTATGGAGGCAGTTAATTGAGCTTGTTTGAGAACATGACAAGTCACCTGTGTGAACAAAGACAGGCTGCTGCTATCTGGTGCAGAGTGTTCTTCTTGCTTTTGTCCTACATTTAGAAGAATTTGATATTGGTGTAAAATGACCAGATGAAAATGTTACTGTTCTTATTTTTAACTAGATTTGAAGTCATTTGCTAATAAACTCTGTGCTTAAAAGTTTGCTGTCCAGCACCAGTGTATTTTAGGTTCTGTGACTGCAGGTGAGAATCTGCCCATTCTTGAAGATGAATTCCACGATATTTCTGACCACAGTCTGTTTAAAAACTCCCTTCAGAGGGCTTGGTGTCACTGGCACTGTCAGCTCCTTAGCCTTATGAGGGATGGGCAGCTCTCAGGTCAAGGGTAAAATCTTGGGCAGAACACCGTGGGACACTGCATTACAGCTGGCAGAGTTGTCTGTGCCATGCAGATGAAGGACTTTGTAGTAAAATGCAAGTGTGTAAGCTTGGTGCTCAGTTTATCTCTGAGTTATATGGCATTCCTCTGGAGTAAAGAGTGCTTTTGTATTCTGAGTAGCTTCATTCTCTGTTACAAATTCACCTTAAGTGGACTGAGTCTTTTGAGGCCTGATTAGATGTGTTTATCACTGTTTCTTGAAACAAAGGAACAAAAAATAATAAGCCTTCTGATATTTAGAATTTCTGTGGGAGGGAAAAAAAAAAAAGAAAAAAGTATTTGCCATTATTGTATTGCTGTGATTTGAGCTCTCTTATTCGTGCATAATCCCCTATAATTTTTTGTCGTAGAATTTCTTTGTTTAAATTCAGGACCTGAATCTTGTCCGTGCGTTAGGAAAGGCTTTTCTTTGTGTTTAGTATTTGTGGAGGTTCAGTGGTGCTGCAGGTGCTTTGTCAATGCTGCTATCACCTCTGTGGGTAGCATCGATCCAGAAAAACTGGTGCTGTACATTCAGTGTTAAGAAACGAGCACAGAGTCCTCATCTTTAGGAAAAAAGTGGGTGACATTGGTTCAACAGTAAGAAACGGTCCCACCTGGTGAGTGCTGAGTGAGCTGGGAGCTGCAGGGTGGTGTGGGGCTCTGCCTGGCAGTGCTGCTGCAGGAGGCACTGCTGTGCTTGGAAGTCACACAGGTAGCAGCAGCTGGGTGCAGCTGCCTTCAGAAATGAGCTGACTGTGAGAGTGGTGAGGTGCTGGAAGAGCTGCCCAGAGAGGCTGTGATGCCCCGTCCATCCCTGGAGGTGTTCAAGGCCAGGTTGGATGGGGCCCTGGGCAGCCTGGGCTGCTATGAAATGTGGAGGTTGGTGGCCCTGCCTGTGGCGGGGGATTGGAGATTTGTGATCCTTGAGGTCCCTTCCAACCCGGGCCATTCTGTGATTTCTAATGAAGAGCTGCAGCTGTTTTGCTGTTAGAATCCAAAAGATGTGTGGATTGTATTTTGTCATTGTTACTGCAGGCTTGTTATTTGCACCTTGGAGGATTACTGGATTACTCTTGTCGCAGTAGCACTGACTAAAAGAGTGATTAGGAGTAAATTTTTCATAGGAATTTGGCGTTTGTTTCAGCACTCAATGGAAGTGGCTGGCATACTTTCAGAGCAAAATAATTCTGCAAAGTTGGAGCTGCTATATGTACATAGGGCTCTTTTGTTTTGCTTTTAAATTCAACGGTAATGAATATGCTTGGAAGTAGAGTTCTCTTGAAAATCTGTCGAACGCTGTGATATCTTTAATGAATGAAAGCTGTGCTTTTGTTGTATAACATGTTATATTTTAACTAACAGGTGTACAGGAGGCCTGATATTCGGGTAAGGTTACCTGTGGCAAGTAGTAAAACGGCCTCCTGCCTGTTTGTCCTTTGTGCTGTGTGACATCCTGGTGTGTCGAGTGCTCTTTACTTCGTTGATGGTTTTTATGAATCACTCAGGCCATGTTTCTGTGCAGTGCAGCAGCTTCTTTGCCACTGAAATGCTTCATATCCGTTACTGTGCTTCCATGAGCAATAAAAGTCAACGTGTGGGAAAGCAGCGTATTTAAATTACGTTACAAACGTGCAACACTAACTTTATTTCTATCGCATTAATTGTGACAAAACGGATGCTTGCAGCTGAGGCTTACGTGCTTCTGACTGCTGAGTGCTGTATGAGCATCTCTGGGGTAGTGTCTGCATTACAGAGTGTTAGTGGATGAAAGCGTTGCATCTCTGTCCAGTCTGCTTAAGGAAGATTCAATTCACACTTGCTTTTGTACGTGTGCTACCTCAGTGCCTCAGTCCTGTTGTAGAGTGGGAGGTTGGGTTGGAAGTTGGATGCGGGTGCACCGACCTGCATCTTTTTAATGACAATTTTGTAGGTCTTGCCTATTCTTCATTGTTTTCCTGTCCCTCTCAGTAGTGTGTATAGAGTGAGGGAAGATCTGGACCGCGTTCTGACATTGTTCATGAGATGTGTCTGTGCTTTTATTCAGACAAAGAGCTCTTGTTTGGTCTCGCACCAGCAGATGAAGTCTGAATGATGTCTTATTCCTTGTTTACATGTTGAAAATGATGTGTTTAGTCAACGCTCACAAGTTGATTTTTTTTTTTTAATGAAGGCTCTTGAAATAATTGGTGTGGGATGAGTAACAAAAATGGACTGTTTTCCATTGGTTTTTCGTAGCCCTTTGTAAGGGCTTTGATCCTAGAGTGGTCTGCTGTGCTTCTCTCTCCTTCACTGCTTGACAGTCTGTTGGTGTGTTTTGTTGGTCCTTTTCCTAGTTTTCTCTCAGGGATCCCTGTGCCTACTTTAGTTTCAGAGGCAAGGTTTGTACTGTTGAATGTAAGCAATTTCCATTTACCAGAACTCAGTGGATGCTTAGATGCCAGGAATTCTTCTCTTACAAAGTTTTTTTTTTACCAGTGAAGACATTTTAAGCACTTGTAGTGTCCAGATTATCAGAAGATATTTTGGTAAAAAGAAAAAATCGATTTTTCTTCTGTAACTTTAGACTAAGTCTGGATTTCCAGTCTTACAAGTGAGGAGTTTGCACGTGGGCTGGGAATACTGGGATGTCACAGACACAGCTTGTCTTAGTTGATGCTGAAAGGACATGGAAGAACAGTTCTGGCAGAACATGTCAGAGCAATTCCTTCATTTGACCCAGTAACATCTGTGCTGCTGCCTGGAGCGCGAGGGGACGTGATGTTTATTAGAGAGATCTAAGTAGTGTTCAGGCTTTGCTGCCATTATGATGGGAAATATATGTACGTACATGTACAAAAGTGACTCGTTTGCATTATTTTGCTCTGAGGACTAATTGTAACTTTAAAGTTACTGAGTCACCTTCAGAGCAGTGCAGAAGTTGGGGGATAAATGTGAAACCATGAAACTGAAAGTTACTGAAAACATGGCTTACACAGTATCGTATTCCTAACACTGACTGAATAATTCTATTTGAACTATTTCTTCCTCGAAAGGCTGCATGACTTTTGTCCTAATGCTAGTCTTGCAAGCTGTGCTCAATTTCTTCTATTTATAAGCACGTGGCATACCTTGATTTCATTTTCTTCACTGTGAAGTTGCTCGTCTTAAAAAGACAGTACATACTTTACTTTTTTGAGTACCAGTCCGGTTTCTTAAGTGAAAAAGAGGGTGAACTCTGAATTGTGTTGTGCCAAGTAACAGTAAATGGGTGGCCCCAGGAGCTTGGAATGTGTCGCGTGGAAAGGGTTTTGTGTCAGGAGTGGGGAGCTCTGGAGATCACAGCTGGGGTTCAAGTATATGCTGTCTCTTTAAGGAAAGAAAAAAGGGGGAAACTAGAAAAGATTCTGTCCTTTCACCTGTTGTGTGCATGATTTTTCCTGTTACTTCTCTCTTGCCCTACTGCTGCCTCATGCAATGCAGGAGATTCAGGATGGACACAATGGCTATCATTCTGAAGCAGAAGCTGATCAGGTGGCAAGTTTTACTCATCTTTCATTATTAACTGTGTAGCCAGGTACTGTGTGCTGGTGCAGTACATTGAGACCTCGTATTTCTTGTTTGCAGAGGATTTGTAGAAAGTAGCAGTGTGTCTGGTGTGTGCTAGGGAGGGTCCTCATCTGATGGCATGTGGTCCAGCATTGCACCTAAGGCCCCATCTGACAGCACGCTGACCTCTGAGTTGGTGTCAGCTCCTTGTCTGCGTGTCGTTGTCCCTGTGATTGGGTGCCACACGTAAAACTCTGGTAGTAACAGCAAATAAAAAACCCAACATCGATTTAAATGTTTTTGGAAGTTACTTAATACAGGCTTGCAGCAGTTTTTTAGTTTGGAGGCAGGCCAATGCTACCATTATATTTATTCTCACTCAAGATGTACAGAATTAAACCTTGATGTTTCATCATGTTGACAAGAAAGAGCTCCTTTTCTCACGCAGCCCTTCGAGTCCCACAAACCACTGTGTTGTTAATTAAAATGTAGTAAATCTTAGCTACCAACAAAGGACCCAGAGGATCAATCTTGTGTCATTCAGCAATGAAGCCACTTACCTGTAAACTGTATAAATCTGTAAACTAGCCCTTATTTTAAAATCACTAATTGTTCTTCTGTATTTCACTTTTACTTCTTAATCTGACTTTCTGGATCCACAACTCCCTTAGTGGGTCTCTTCCATAAAAGAGCACGTCAGGGTGTTTCTGACTGCTATTAGAAAATAATGGCTGCTTTTAGCAAAACACTAACAAATTGCTAGCTGCAAATTTGGGCTGCTATTGTTCATATTTCCCTGTGCTATATGTAGCCAGCACGTGAAACTAATTGCTGCATAAATGCTGTGTTACTAATGTATTGCTAACGTATGTCTGTGTAATATTTATAGCAGCACACATTGCCTCTCTTAATACAGTACTGTTTAATACAATTGTGCCTTGTGAAAAAAGATGCACTATTTGTGTTCCAGTAATCTAGTAGTTAAAGCACTTTGCATCAAAATATATCGATGCAGTGCAGATGGAAAGAGAGATTTACTCACAGTTTTGGGTTTCTGCCAGGCGCTGCGAGATGGAAACAAACTGGCACAGATGGAAGAGGCTCCGCTTTTTCCTGGCGAATCAATCAAAGTTATTGGTAAGCACACTACCAAGTACCACACTGAATGCTATTAATCCACTGGTTTGTTTACTTAAAAATAGAGTATTGTTTCCCTTTGAGTTTTGTTCTTTTAATGTCTTGCCATTTTGGATTAGGAGACGCGGTGTGGATCTCTTTTCTTTGTTTTTTAAATCCAAATGTAAACATGAAAGTAATCAGTTCAAGAAGATGACTTTGTCCATTTAGACATATCATTCTGTTTCAAGGGTGACTTTGTTCCAAATTGGATACACAGGTTGTGTTTCTGCTTGGAGCTGCTGAGAATACTTCATAGATTGAAAAGTTTTAAATCGTGGTAACAAAGAACAGAAAGTTCCGTAAAGTTTCATTTCCAGCTGTATGTCAGATTTATTTCCCTTTGGCTGATGATGGCAAGCTCTGTGTTAGTAGTACAGTACTTACCTAGGAAACTGTGTGCAGTCTTTCAGGTAAAGTCTCATACTTCTCAATAACTACCATTTGCAGGCTGTGAGGTGAGTGGGGGTACTTTACAGCGCAGGGCAGGGACCAGAGCTGCCTGCAGCTCAGCATAGCAGCATGATGCCAGACTTTGTTACCTGCCAGCCCCCCCCCACACACACAACACTGAGGTGCTGGGAAGCAGTGAGGAGTTCTTTTCCTTGTTGAGAACAGCAAGATTCTTCTAGTCCTGGTAGCGTTTGTAGAGCAGGCTTTCCTCTTTCTTATGCTTCGAGTATGTGAATCTTACTTTATTGTGGAGTTACAGAAATCTTGCTGTTCTTCAACAGAAATAGATTTTTATGGAGTAAATGCCTGTCATAGTAAGACAAAGCTTCAATTGGTCTGTTTTCCAGCTAAAGACGTTATGTACATCTGTCCATTTATGGGAGCAGTCAGTGGTACGCTGACGGTGACGGACTTCAGGATGTATATCAAAAGTGTTGAAAGGGTAAGAGTCCACTGTCTATCTGCATTTTCTTTTGGGTGGAAGTGTTTCTGAAGTAGATTTCAAAGTGATGAATTTGTTTTAAGTGATCTATTGAACAGGAATTGTAGTTGATCCTAATGAAACACGTGAATGATACAAGACTGTGTTCCAAACCAAATGTAACACAATTCACTTGCTCCGTGTGTCTTTCAGGATCCACCTTTTGTTGTTGATGTTCCTCTTGGAGTGATAAGTAGAGTTGAAAAAATTGGAGTACAAAGCCATGGAGACAACTCATGTGGTATAGAAATCGTATGCAAGGTATGACATGGTACAGATATGTTCATTTCAAAAGTATTTTCATTTCGTTTTCTTGTGAGAGGAATCAGCATACATGTGCTCTTTCTGCCTGCTCAGTTCCCTGTATTTGAACTTGGCTTCATTTAGATAAGACATTTCAGTTCCTCTTGTGATACTGTGCAGTGTTCAGCACTTCTGCCTTTTGTCCTGAGAGTGAATTCAAAGGAAAAATGGCTGTTGCCATTGGAGTCGCTAGAGAATGCAACAACCATGGTCGTCCAGTTATGAAACTCCATTCTGACACGGGTCAAATGATGTCAGCGAGCGTTACTTATAATTTTGTGACCTTTTTAAATTTACCATAGGGTAAAGTAACGTGACTTATTTTTGACAGGATATGCGGAACTTGCGGCTTGCCTATAAACAGGAGGAACAGAACAGATTGGAGATTTTTGAAAACCTTGTAACGCGTGCGTTCCCTGTTTCTAATGGACTGGTACGTCTTAAGGTGCACAGGAAGGTGCCTGCTGTTCTCTGAAACGTGGAGCTGGGAAAACTGGAAGTGCTGGGTATTGATTTATAACATCGGTTACACAGCAGGCAAGCTGCTCAGATTTGTACAAAAACTCTTCAGATTTTCCTAATAATGTGATTAAGAATATAGGAAGTCTTGTTTTCTGCAGTAGATAGTTCAATATGAAAGTTCTTTTTGGAAAAAAAAATACCATTAGCTTAATTATTAGCTATCTGCTGAATGTACTTCTGTTTGCTTGTGTGAATAAAGGTAGGAAAAGAGTTTTCTCATCCTGGCTTTGCCATTGGTCTGTTGTATGATTACAGGCAAGTAACTTTAATTCTCTTTTCTTTCTTGATTTTATTGATGATGTGGCATGTGCTGAAATAACTGTCTTTAACTTTCTAGCAAAATGTCCATTCTTGACAGTAAAGTTTGTACCTGCTGTCAAAAGAGTTCTAGAAATGTGACATTTGAAATAGGATTGTGTGTTTCGGAGCTTATTGTACTTACAGCCCATCAGATAGTAATTTATAGCTCTGTTTTGTTATTTTTAGCCTCTTTTTGCATTCAGCTATAAAGAAAAGTTTGCTGCCAATGGTTGGAAAGTATACGATCCAATGTCAGAATACAAAAGGCAGGTAAGTTGTATAGGAGAGTTTTCATCTTTGCTACCTCTGGAGACTATCTCAGTCTCATGTTAAGATCATAAAAGCAAGTGGCCTGACTTTGACAGTGCTGACCACCTGCTAAAGAGAAAGAGCACACTGATCTGTGTTAACATGCATTGCTACATCTACGTTTTCCAAGTGATGTTTTATGAAAATGCAGGCTCTGTGAAGATTTGCTTGTGAGTAAGCAGGATTAAACAAAGGAGTAGCCTGACTTTGTCACTGTAAATCTGGTTTCCCAGTTGCAACATTAATATTTCATTGTATGATCACCTTATACCTGAAATTGAAATGTCTATTGAAATGGTTGTTTTGCATAGCAGTTTTAAAGATAATAAAAAGGAAAGTCTTTCATTGTATTGACTTATGATAAAATCTGAGGGCCTAAAATTTGTAGCTCATATTAGATAAAAATGTAGGCATGCTTTTCTTTTTAAGTGTAGCACGTCAAAATTTTCCTTACAGAGCACAAGTAAGTACAGACCTAGCCTGAAAAATAGAAAAAATGTTTTGCTTTCTTACAGGGCTTGCCCAATGAGAGTTGGAAAATATCAAAAATTAACAGCACCTATGAGCTTTGTGATACATATCCTTCTGTTCTTGTTGTGCCAACCAGTGTAAAAGATGATGACCTCTCAAAAGTGGCAGCATTTCGAGCAAAAGGCAGAGTGCCAGTAAGTGAAACTTGCACAAGGAAATGGAAGTGCTCTGTGTATTGTCTAGCTTCTAAGAAATGATCAGAGTTCCTCAGTGTTTTTTTTTAACATTAGTTGGCCCACTTCCTTTCTAAAAAGGGAGCAAAGAATGAAGAATTAGGATTCATGAGTTTAGAGCTGAAGAAAGCAGATGAAGTGTGAGTCTTAGTTTGCTTGGTTATTGTGCTGTTTATTGTGCTGTTTTTGTTTGGAGTTAATGCTTCTAGGCTGGAGTATTATTTGAAGCTAATTTGTTCATTAACTTGTGTTCTGATTTGGTATGGAATGTGTTGCAGCCGTGGCAGTTTTCTTGAGAATGAATATATTCTGCAGGTAGTGAAAAAGTCCTTTTTAAGTATGTGAGGGGGTGACAGTGTTCATGCTGTGGGTCTGCTTTGCTAAGTGCTGTACAGGTCTGTAGACTCCCAGTGAAAGCCTGTTCTGGTGTTTCACCACTGTCACAGTAAAGAAATTTTTCTTAATGTCCCATAGGAATCTTCCTTGCCATGCAGGCAGTGGTTGTCTGGTTGCACTCTGGCTCGCTGCTGTTACATTAGTACAGTAAGCTAAAAGAGTTTTGCTTTATCCCAGGTGTTATCCTGGATTCATCCGGAGAGCCAAGCAACAATAACACGGTGCAGCCAGCCATTGGTAGGCCCGAATGATAAGCACTGTAAAGAGGATGAAAAATACTTGCAGACAATTATGGATGCCAATGCTCAATCACATAAACTTATCATCTTTGATGCCAGACAAAACAGTGTTGCAGATACAAACAAGGTAGGTTGGTACCATAAACAGTAGTGGTGGTTCAGTCTTTATTCCAGAGATTGCTGAAGATTGAGCAAAGGATATGAAGGTACAGAGAATTCGATGTGAAAAGAAATTTAAACAGGGATCTTTATTTAGAGCCGTGGGAAGGGAGGTAAGTGGTTTGGAGTATGTTGGAGTTGAAGGCAGCGTGAGCATGTTCCTGAGAAAGGATGCAGTGACACCAGCAGAAGGATGAAGGTTTCAGTGACAGCAAGAGGAAACTGCATAGCTGTATTAGCAAATGTAGCCCACTACAGTGCAGGATTTCTTCAGTCTAAAAAATATACTCCTAGCACTTCTCAGAGAAAGCAAAAGCAAGAAGGTGTTTTTAATAGTGCTAGAATAATCCTTTCTCTCCAGAGAAGACCTAACTGAAGCAACTCTTTCAGCCTTATACTGAAGTCCTGTACGTGTTCTTTTCTTTGTCTGCTTTTACTTTTTATATGACAGGCAAAGGGCGGAGGATATGAGAGTGAAAGTGCCTACCCAAACGCAGAGCTGGTCTTTCTGGAGATTCATAACATTCACGTGATGAGGGAATCCCTGCGTAAGCTGAAGGAAATAGTTTACCCTACTATCGATGAGACGCGCTGGTTATCAAACGTGGACTCCACGCACTGGCTGGAATATATAAGGGTAAAAGTGTGAAAAAATTGCCTTTAAATGGTGTTATTTACTTGCATTTCTGAAAATGTTATTAGAACAGTGTCTCCAATCTTTGATCAGTATAATTTTTTTGAAGAGTCACTTAAAGCCTAGCATTTGAACTGAAGTTGATCCATTCCATAGTAACTGGCTCTGCGTATTGGTAGGTAGTGAGTTAACTCCTTGTGGCTCAGTATCATATTTGGTGTTGGGCTGGGTTTTATTTTCTTGAGAGAAAATGTTTGTGAGCAGTCCAGGGTTATCCCTTCTTCTTGGAAAACTGCCCTGGGAACTTCAGATTACAGTGAAGTCCTCTTGGCAGTAATTCAAGCACAGAAGCAGCAGTCTTTGCTCATCCTTCCCTCCTTCAGTGTAGTGTTGGTGTTCATGTGTCGAACACCTACATTTTCCTGGGCTGTTCACAGTCTGTGTTGCACTGAGCTATAATTTGCTCTATTAGTTAATGTAATACTAAAATAAATCACACAGTTCTACAGTCTGATTCATTAACCTCTGAAATGCTTTTAGAATAGATGATTTCATTATCATACTCACTCCTCTGTTTATGATGAATATGGGTGGAGTGGAATTTGTCTCATTTAGCAGTTGCCTCAAATGTCACTCATGGCAAACGTGCTTTGAATTAATCAGTTATTCAGTAGCTACTTGCTAACTGCTGCAGGAGAACCAGTAGAGGGAGCAAATGCTTACATTATTATACAAGATTTAAACAAATTTATGTTCTTTTCGGACCACTGTTGGCTTGAAGTTGACTATTTCAAGGGGATTTGGGAATCTTGAGTATCTGGAAAGATTTTTTTAATAATCAGCCTGGCTTTAAATGTGATCATCGAGTTTTAAAAGAGGATTTTTATGCACTGATCACCTTTCATTGTTACTGGTTTCAGTGGGGTCTCTGAGCTTGCATGGCATCAGAGATGAACCTTGATACCATCATTTCACAGATGACATTAGCAGTTTGAAACTTACATTACTTAGAAGATTTGGTAAACATGAGGCAGTCTTCATGCCTTTGCCCCTTATACAGTACTTCATGTTACCGTGTGGGCAGCATAAATTGCAACCTGATTTCCTGAAAGCTGCCATTGCTGCAGTAAGTGGGTTGGGTGCTTACCTTCTCTTCCTGATTCATTTGACTTGTAACAATTAGCAGATCCACAGCTTTACCACCTATGTAATATAAGGATAACAGAGCAAACTCTTGCATACCTGCACATTTTATAGATAATTTTCCTGCTTATGTTGAAGACCAAACTCTTTTAACATCTCCATAGCTTCATGATTGAAGTAAATGGCAATTAACTAGTTCAGTCTACAAGCTCTGTTCTCTTGTACAAGCTTTTGTAGTGCTTCGTGATATTTCCAACCTGGCATCCTTTCCCTTAAAAGATGATTGTCTGTGTAGCGTGGTCTTGCAATTGCTTTGAAGACTGGCCTTGTGCACTTGTGCATTGAACTTAGCTTTCCTTCTTCCCAGAAGATGTTTCACGTGCTCAGGAAGGGAAGAATGCAAATGTTTAGCAATTTTCTGTTTTCTCACATTGGAATGCAGAGAATTTTTCTGGGGTCCTATTCTGCTGCTTCTCTTCCCCACATATTTATCAGTGCCATGATAGGCTGTGGTTTAGGGACAAACCTTCATAGGAGAGAGATTATTCAAGTATGTTAGAGGGAAAAAAAAAAAAAGAAAAAACAACAGGAGAGCAGCAGCAGACAACCAAGGGAAGGATTTGTGTGGGAGACAGAAACACAAAGTTCACACAAGTGAATTTCAGTTCTCTGCCATCTCTTCCTTTGTTCCCCCAGCGTGCTTCTGAGCCCAGGTTATTCATGGCCTTATTCATGGCTTGTGGGTCTCATGCTGTGTGTGCTTCATGCACCAGCAGATCAGGGCAGGCTCCCAGCCAGCAGTCCCTGGTTTTGTTTGGGCTGTGTTTTGATTGAGATCAGCTCAGTGGTTTGTCCCTTCCTCCAGTGCCAGCAGTTAAGAACTGAAAGCTGAGGAACACAGGAGTGATTCTTTCCTGTGAAGATGAACTTTGATCACATTGAACCTTTTGTCTTTGGGGTAGATTACAGGGTTTGTGTCTATTTTCCTAATGATAAAGAATTTCAATTTTCATTTAGTGAAAGGGGTTGCTAACTTCTCTTGCCGTGTGCTACTGATAATGGAGAACTCTCTGCTGGACAGCAGCGTGCCTGTGCTTGGGAGCTGGCTTTTGTCCCTCCAGGTGTATGTGCCTTGCTGTTTGAAAGTCTCTGATTTAACACAGTGTTGTCCAGATAACTGTGTAATTAATCTGTGGATTTCAAATATGTGATGTTAAAAATATAAAATCATGCTTTTCGGTGGAGTTTTGGTTTACATTTAATATGCTTGTTTTTATTTCTTTAAGATGCTTCTTGCCGGAGCTGTAAGAATTGCAGATAAAATTGAATCTGGTAAAACTTCTGTGGTGGTACATTGCAGCGATGGCTGGGATCGAACAGCACAGCTCACTGCACTTGCTATGCTCATGCTGGACAGCTATTACAGAACTATCAAGGGCTTTGAAATTCTTATAGAAAAGGAATGGATAAGCTTTGGACACCGATTTGCAATGGTAAGGTGAAAGAGTTCATATGTTATTTGTCACCTTCAGCTCTTTAATTTGGAGTAGTATGTTTTCTCATCACTTTGCTCTTCAGTTCCTGCAGTATTCATTCAACTCAAGGGCTAGCAGGGAATTAGGGCACAATATCTCAATTGTAATTTTTTTTAAAAGCATAATGTAGTGACACTTCTGGCATCTGAGAGTGTTTCAGGAGACATCATACATACTTAAGCAAGTGGATATGGAAGTTTCATCATTGATTCAGTTGCACTGAATACCTATCAGTTTGATCCCATAAACAGCTTCACTTTGGAAGATGGAGGAAACGACTGGGAGAGCTCTGAACAGCAGCAGCATGTCCATAAGCAAACACTGGGGAGTATTTTTAGCAGTTGAAAAACATAGGTTGGCATTATGGAAAATTTGTTTGTCTTGTTCATCTTTGTAATGTATCGTCTTTAAACAACACCGTAAATAGACTGGGCAGAAATGAAAATTCGTTCTGTCTTTCAGCGAGTGGGACACGGAGGGGACGATCATGCCGATGCAGACAGGTCTCCCATTTTCCTTCAGTTCATTGACTGTGTTTGGCAAATGACAAAGCAGGTAAGGTGTTTAGGAATATATTTCTGAGGTCTTACTAGTGTTACAGTAAAAGACAGATGTATGGAAGTTTGCATAGCACATGTGAATTGTTTTGAGGCAAGGAAGATAAGTGTCTGGTTCCATAAGAGTCTGGTTCCACACAATGCGAGCGCTCCCACAACACCTCAGTGCTGCTCTTGTGAACGTGGTCTTTGAAAATGGTGCACTGTGCTTCTTTCCAAAGGGTGTATTTGACGTGCGTTAGGAAAGCTTCCCGCTGCAGTACTGGGCCCTTGCTCAGAGTTGCTTGAAGACTTTCTCTGTATCTGTATTTCAGCATTAATGTGCTGTTTATTAAGGCTGGAGAAAAATAAGTGAGGAATTCTGCCCCTCTCTCAGAGAAAGGCTAATAACAATTGCAAAAAGAGAGACTTCTAAACACCTGGTAAGAGCGGAAATCTTCTGGGGAGATCCGTAATTAAGATCACCACCTCTGTTTTTGTATTCTCCCTTTCTGCCTCCGATTCTTGCTATTTACAGTTTGGTTGCCTCTTGTTGAGATAAAATAATAATGGGGAAGCTATGGAACACTTAGCCAATACCACATCTGTTCAAAACCTGGATCCAAAAACTGTTGGGAAGTTCATAGACAACAGTGACACTGGAAAGTCATTGAAGTTACAGCATAACAAAATAGAAAGCACATTCTTTGGAAGTTTTGTGCCACTTGTTTTTTAGTTGACTTAAGCACCTAGAGAATATGTGTGAAGATTGCAATTGCCTTGACATACACCTGGGAAAACCAGGATTCTATTTCATCCTCGTGAAGCTTGCTTGCTTATGACATGGTGTTAAGTTTCTTGCTTCAGAATCCATGGCAAACATATGAGACATGTTCCAAAGCTCTAATAAGTGTCACTGCTTGGGAGGGGATGTGTGTTCAGGTTCATGCTTGGGCATGGGCTCTAAGCAAGCAAATTTACTTTTGTGCTCTGAGTATTTAGTTCTTAAAGCATTCAGCTTAACATATTACGAGAATCTCTAACTTGGGCTTGGATACAGACCTCTGGATAGCTTCAGACAATGGAACTTAGTCTTTCACAGCCTAATATTTTCCCAGATTTTTACAATCTTCATGACAACTAATACATTATTAGGGAGTTTGAGAGAAATACATTGATAGCAGATTGAGAAAAAAAAAGAAAAAAAAAAAAGATGATTTCAAGTTGGAATGGCTGTGTTACCTAATGAAAATGAAAAACACCTGCAAGATTGGCAGGTAGTAATGCAGCTGAATTACCTTCCTACCTTTAATGCATGGTACCCACGTAAAAGAAAGGTACATCTCAGGTTGATTAAAAAGGTGCATTGTGTTCGTTATCAGATGCCACTGGCTTCTGGAGGTTCTTCTTGCATTCCTTTCAGTAATTCATTTCACCACTTGATGGTGTCCTGCCCGGTCAACCTGGTTCAGCCCAGTTCCACAGTCATAAGCATGTTCAGCAAAATATTTAAACTTTGTTTAAAAGCCGTGGTACAGAACTGGTTTATTGATCACAGAATGGAAAAGCACGTTTGTCTTGCATCTCTTTGAGTCAGGTATCACTTGGCATCATCAGACGTTTTATGCAACGGAATTCTTCTCTTAAGTACCTCCTTTATAAAAAGAGAAAAATGAACAACAAACCTTCCAGAAGCATCAAGTGGGAGATTTTAATGACCCATATGTTCTCTCTCAATTAGTGGATTTGACAAGAAGTAAATTTTCATTTGGGGAATTTTTCCACCTGAATCTTCAAACAGACGCTAATGGGCTTGGAACTGCAGGGGAAAGAATTTTTAGGTCAGTGATTTTTCAGCGGCAGTAACAGAAGCTCTGCAGTCTTGAAACATCGGCTCCAACAGTGCAACTCTTGTATTCAAAGACAGAGTTTCAATAAGTGCTATCACTTATTAATAAATTAGTTGGAGCGCAGCCACTGATGTATGGAATTCGGAATATGCTTCGCTGGGTCGGAATAGCGGCCGTGTCGGTGGCCTCTGATTAGTGCAGGCAGAGCCATGGCAGAGCACTGATGTGACGAGGCTCATTAAGTGCTTTTGGTTAAGGAGAGCTCCTCTAGGAGAGGCCTTGTCTTCAAAGTTACTTCCAAACTTCGTTTTGATCGTTTGCCAGTGACTTTGGGGTTACGTATGTGCTCGCTGCTCTGGGTGTGGGAGATTGAGATCCGAGCGGTGCTGGCTATGTCCAGCAGATCTGCTCAGCAGGTTACACTCCTAGGTTTTGTTTAAATGATAGCTGTGTTGTTAATGTTGTTGTACTGTAGAAGAGTTAGAGCGGCATTTCTTGAAAGAGAGGGTATTAGTGATAACTTCTGCACGCGACTGAAGAAGAGAATTTGATCATTTTAAATTGCATCTTATTTAACATCCTGTACGTTTTATTAAAAAAAAAAAAAAGTCAAGCAAACTGCTGGTTTGTACAGGAAGCTCTGCTGTGAGCACTGCACGCTGCTGAGCTGTACCTCATCCATAGCAGGGTCAGAAAGAAGGCTCTGTTTATTCTGTAAGTCACCATATTGGTGGTTTCCTTACTCCATTGAAAGTTGGTATCTCTTAGCTTGAGAAGCCTTAGAAGAAGAAGGATTTAAGTCAAACACTGCAAGAACAATCTTGTTTTAAAATAATACTGCTTAAAACATCGATCTTTCTGGTTTAAATACAAGCACAATTGTTGTGCGTTATTCAACTCCTTCCTTTCAACATGAATATCATGTTGCAAATCACGGGTGGCACTGAAGAGGAGTTTCTGGATCAGCTAGTCCATCCCCAGTCCCGACTGCTAGGTTATTCCTCCTAGTTATACTTTTCTTTTAGAAGTAGCTCTCAAACTGATGCCAAGGCAGTGGTGTTGCTCAGTGGCACGTGACTGAACCCAGGCTGCTGCCTTCTTCACGTCTGAATTTCTGGCTAGATAGTTTTGCAGAGAGGAGGACATTCTTGGTGGTGAATATTGCATTCTAGACTTGTGAAAATATTCACTCCTTTAATGGAAATAAAGAAATGTTTTTGTTTGTCCTAAAAATCAGTCTCCTAAGATGCTCGTTCTCATGGCAAGGGGAGAAATGCTTATAAAATTGTCTTTGAGTTGTCTGAATTTGTTTGTTTGTTCTCTTAAATGTTCATCGTTCCATGTCTGTGTTTGAGACCTTTGTCATTTGAAGAAAAAGTTATTTTGACATATGAAGCAGTTGCCATATGCAGTCCTATCATAAATGATTGAAGGATGTTTTCCATCTGAATAGATAGCAGCCCGTGCACTTCTGTACTGATTTCTTCCTGACTTTTGAAGCACTACTGATTAAGATGCATTCTAAGTAAACTGTGTTTTCAGATTTTCCATGTTTGTTCTAGAGTGTGTCAGGCAACCTCTGCTTGTGAATACAATGTTCAGTGGTGTCACAGGAATAACGCTTCTTTCAATTTGGATATCCAGAATTTACTTTCTGATATAGAAGGCAGAGAGATTAAAAGATTATTATATGTAGCTGATGCTAAACTTGAGGTGTGAGATGAAGAAAAATGACATAATTTGGGTAAAAAATGTAAGAAATGTTTAAAATATATATCCAGTGTATTTTATGTACATTTGTGTTTATTATCCAGCTCACTGCATGTTAGAAGCAGAACTAAAGCTCTTAAATATCATAGAGGAATAAAGCATGTGCTGTTAGATAGGGCTTCTCACAATGAGTTGCTTTGTGTCACCAGTTTCACACTAGCTAATGTTTCTGTGCTTGCATCCTTGTGCACTTGCATAATGAATGTAGGGTTTGTCTCTGAGGATATGAAGAAGTTTGCAGGTGAAGTGTATTATTGCAGGTTTTCCTGAATAGAATCACTAAACAGGAAAAAAAATCTTACCTGAATCTTTTAGTTATTTCTTATTTGTTAGTTGCTTCCTTACCATGATGCTTAAAATACAGCTTAGAGTAATTTTACCTTTCTTTTTTTTAAATTTAAGTTTCCTGCAGCCTTTGAATTCAACGAGTTGTTTTTGATCACCATTCTGGATCACCTTTATAGCTGCCTATTCGGGACTTTCTTATGCAACTGCGAAAAAGAAAGGTTAAAAGAGGTAAATAATCAATTTAATATGTTGGTTTTGTAGGAAATGCTTCGGCCATATGACCTGAGAACACTTGAGCTGTTTTTTGATAAATTTCCTGCATAGTCTTTGGGGGCATTACAGATGTAATTCCATGGAATACATAATGAAAGCTCTATTAAGTGAGATCCCATCCACTTTTCTTTGGCTGTTACCTCTTGGCAGTTCTGAGGATTTTAAAAAATTGACTTTCACATATTTCTAGCCAGCATTCAGTTTTATGTAGTTATTATCGAGTGCTATTAACATTTCTGTGCTATTTTCAGAGCAACTCCTGTGCGTGGCTTTAGTCACTTCAGGACATAATTTTATGGATCCTGTGATTGGAGACTGGGGAAGTTTAAAATGCCCGAATGAATGGAGTTAGGACATCATGAAATGCTTTGAGTTTGGAAAACATGTTGTGGTTTTTTTTCTTTTTTTAAAAAAGAAAGCTTTTTTCAGTATTCCAACTACACTTCTGGCTTTTTTTTGTTTGTGGCACTTCATGTTTGTGTCAGAACAAGTAGCTCTTCCGTGGCAGTTAGACCGGTTGTTTTTCAGGTTTGTCTCTGCTTCCGTAGAGGAGAAAGTTGCACGCAGACTCCACAAGGTGGAGCTGAATAACATTCTCAGCGAATGCAGAACTTCCCAGCAGCGTTCTCAGTAAATCAGTTGTATGCAGTTCTCAATAAAGAAATGCAGTTTAAGACACAGAGGTAGCAGAAGCACATGCTTAACTACGTTGTACACGTGTAAAATTGCGAGATGAATCTGAGGCTCACATTCTGAAACCTTGATCTAACCATGTTTATGCTGATTATGTTTAGTATAATAGAACTTTCAGAAGTGCAAATAAAGCTAGTAATTTTAAGTCACAGTGCCAATAGATATTGGGAGCAGATAGTTTGAGTGGGAGAAGGAAGGTGCTGTTTTCCACAGGTGCTATTTTGGATCTTTCAAATCGCGTTCTCTCCTCACTGATTTTCTTTTCAAAGCTGACTTGTTTGTGAATCTTTTTGAAGCGGTCACACGTACACATAACTGTAGGTCTAAGGAGCTGCAGACACTGCAGTAAGTTACGACCAGTACAGCTTTCCCTTCCTCAACCAGAACTCATTGTCTTTGGAAATACCATGCCTCAGTCTCCCTTCTCAGTTCACCTTGGAAGGGAACAGGATATCAAAAGTTTTGATAAAGCTTTAACACTGAGTGGTCAGCAAGTGTTCTCAGAGGGCAGTATTGCAGTATATCAGGTAATCTTCACAAAGATAGGGATGTCTAGATAATGACCTCACATTTTAACACCTTGCAATCCATGTACTTATTTTTCTGTATTTTTTTAATTCAGGAGTTGAGCACTAAGACTGTATCGCTGTGGTCCTACATAAACAGTCAGTTAGATGAATTCACAAATCCTTTCTATGTAAACTATGAGAACCACGTCCTGTATCCTGTTGCCAGTCTGAACCATTTGGAACTGTGGGTCAACTACTATGTCAGATGGAACCCGAGGATGCGGCCTCAGGTATGAGGTTCCACTTCTGTGTTTCCCTGAAAGTACAGAGATAAAATTACTGGTTTTTGTAAGGTCCATTTCATTCAAGAAAAGTATTCTTTGAATGTTGGTGGTGGGGAAAAAGATGTTTTTTCTAAAACAAGGCATCAGGTATGTTAAAACTGTGTTAAATGTTCAGTGTTCATTAAGGCTACCAGTAGAATATAGTTGTGGTACCACTTCACTGACTTGTGAAAGGTGACATAAGCACTCTTTCTTGTCAGAAGATTACTGTAATATTTTACAGCACTTTTAATGCTTCTGTTGCATTAACCTTGTGTAGTTTCATTATGTTTTGCTGTTTGGCAATTACGTTATAAAATGCAGCAGTGATTTCTGAAAGGAATTGATCTACATACCAACTCATTTGCAGACTCTAAGCTTTCCTACAGGTATTTGTTTTCCACTGACCTTCCTGTTTTCAAGCTGGCATGCTAAAGATTAAATGCTCCTGAAATGTACTCCTTGAATCATCAGCATTTGTTCTTAGAAGTAATGTCTCCTATTCAGACAAATCTCTAAATCTCATCAGAAAAATGCTGTGTTTTATCTTCAGAATTCTGAGAGTGTACATTAGGTTTGTTTCACAACCATAATGTATCTGAGGATGTTACTCTGTCTCTTTATTAAGGTAACATTTCAAGGTATCCCCAAGCGACTTAATGATAAATTACCTGCACTGAGTGACTGTTTGAAAGCTGCTTTCATCTTCTCACAGTTAGCAAGAGATGCGAGGTTCAGATTTATTAGACACCCACAAGTCAGAGCCTGTTTGAAAAGATGTGTTTCAAGGACAGCACGCGGTTAGAGATCCAAGCATCTGAGCAGTACCCTGTGAGGTACTGGAGAAATAGGTGTTGCTTGCTTCCTCACTGAGGTTTTTCCTTTGCACTTCCCTGTTGCCCACACTTGCTCTGTTTTCTTGATGTAATCCTTTGTTAGGTATCCATTTATAGCAATGTGAAACTTTTGTTTTTGTTTTTGTAGTTTTGAAGTCAAATTGCCATCTGCTTTTTAGCAAAACGTCACCTTCCCTGAACCTGTTTGCTGGAAAACATTGGCGTGGTTTGCGCACGTTTTAGTAGAATTGACCTTCAGCCATGTCAGTTGTATTTAATTGGGATCTGCAGGTCCTGAGAGCAAAGCAGGCTTTGTAAACATGCATTTGAATTCAGTAACTGCAGGAGAGATAAGTGGTGGGGAAGAGTGGACATAACAAGGAAATACCAGAACTGCCTTGCTGCAGTGTGTGCCTCAGTGCCCACTGCCTCTCAGTCTGCAGCTCGGTAAAGAGATGACATGGAGTGATACTCGTTTCTGAGTTGTATGGGTGGCTTAATTAGTACTATTGATGGTACTTGCATGAAGAGCCCCAGGTTAGGACTATGGCTGTGTTGCAGGAGGTGCTCTGCAATGAGGTGGCACACAGCTTCCCTGCAGAGGGTTCTGAGCACTGAGCCACCTAGAAAATCTGAAGTTAAACCTGGGTGGGTTTTGCAGATTCCTTTTTATGCTAAACTCTGCTTCAACAAGGTCATTCTAATTCCTAAGTGAAATAAAGTGTTCCTCAGTTTCAGTTTGGAGGTGTTACATCATTATTGACTTCTTGTCCCAAGAAAATTAGATTTTAGTCCTGTTGCATTTGAATTCATTGACTGGGAAGAGGCATGAGTGGGGTTTTTTTTTCCTTTGTTTTTTTCTTCTTTGCCCTTTCCTTGGGTTGGAGAAGTGAATATTTCTGTGTGACGGGGAGGATAAGCTCTTTCAATCTTAGTACACAGAGTTGAGTGCTCTGTGGGTGCATATGGCTGGGTTTACAGGTGACTCTACAGGCCATAACATAGTATGATGCTTTTGAATTTTTTCAACTGGTGCCGTTTATTTCTCTTTCTTTTCCCATGTGGTTGTTCAGACCTCTTTACTGCAGTCTGAGAAGTTCAGGCTGCTAGCTGTCAGTTAGTTGTCTGCCTGGGCAATTCAGGGAGGTTCTTCAGGGGTAGCATTGCAAGCTAGTATGCTCTTTGCCATTCATATGTGCAGTGCATGAGTAAATGTTCTGTTCCTTTCAGTTCAAGCTGTGTCTTGCTATGGAAGGTGGGAGGACAAGATTGTACTCTAGTTCATCAATTTGCATCACCCATTAAGTCATGTGTAGTTGTTTGTATGGCTTCTGGCAAATGGCATTTTAATCCTTGGAATAGGGAGCTTAAACGTGCTTTAATTTTTTTGTTTTAGTTTTTCTATACCTGCAGTTTTTTCTTCAAGTTCTGTTCTGTTCTCCTGGAAGTGGGGCCTCTGTGCTAGAGAGAATGTTTTAGGAGTGCTTCTCAGTTTTTCAAATACATTCTTTTTTTGTGTCTGTGGAGTTCCATCCTTAACTGAAGATGAGCACTGGAAACTCAGGTTGGCTGGTGACATAGGGCTGTCTGCTGTGGGCAGTCCTTGGAGCTTCCTGCAGCTGCCAGGGGAGGTCTGTTCCTACTTAAAGGCTGGCTTCAAAAAAAAACAGGAATAACAGTTTGCGTGGTGTATTCAGAAATGATCTGAAAAGCGTGCAGATAGGTTACAGTGATAGCTGCCTTCTTTATGCTATATAGGAATTGCAAAAGAATCAGTTTTGTTAAGCATTCAAGTGATTAAACGTCAGCTGAACCTGTCAGTAAGCACAACGTTAGCCTCTTATTTGCTCTTTAGCACATGCAAAGTGTTACTGGAAAATCAGTTTTGATTGAAATGGAAGACATAATTGTGGAGTGCTTTGTGTTGCTACTTAGGGACAGGACGTACAGTGTGGCCCCAGAGTGTCTGTAGCAGTTCCACCTGCCTTCACACATGTTTCCCTGCAGGTCTCTCTGCTGATGTTGTTGACATCACTTGTAATACTTGCAGAGTTCACACACATCTGTAAGATAATTTGGTGGCAGGACAAACAAAGCCGCCCTACGGCTCTGGAAGTGCATTGCTGGCCCACAGCCCATGGTTCTGAGCCTGTTGTCTTTGCATGGAAGAGTGAGGCAGGAGATGGCAGGAAGAGGAGGTGCTGCGTGGGTCAGTTAGCTGAGAGCCCCCCGGGGAACTGGATTTCAAGACAGCATTTACTACAGAGTTTCTTCTGATGAGGCAAGTGTCTCTTGGTCCTGATCGTTTCTCACTATCTGCGTGTCCAAGCCATAGTTTGCCGAGGCTGACTTGTGTGCATAACTTGGATCAGCAGATAGAGCCCTCCACATTCAACTGATAAGAGTAAAATACAGACTTAACTGCCTTTCCTATGTTCTGAAAGAATCTGTAGTTATTTGAGGGGAAAAAAACCTGCTATTTTGTAATGAGTCCTGCATCAGGTTACGCACAGAGATGGAGAAATTAACATGGTATGAATAACTTAATTCTGGGGAGTTTCCAACGTGTTCTGAAGAGCAGGTCCTTAAAACATCACTCTAATCCTTCAGATGTCAAAGCTAAATGAGGTGTAGGTTTAAACAAATAATGGCATCAGTCCATAGCGTGTCACGTTTCCTGTGCCTGTAAATCTATACAGTTTGACAAGTGTGCATTCCTGTTCTTGCATGGTAGGCTTTGTAATTTCTATTTACTAGTCATTGCTTTTCCAGGAGGCCTGGGAGTTTGGTTGGCTTCCCAGGAGCATACCTTTACAGTAAGCAGGGAAGTATTGATTATTACAGAAAACTGCTGTTTTCATCGTTTGAGATTGACTTTTTCTGTGAGTATACTGTTAAGTAGGTTTTAAAAGAAAGTCAGAATTCCAGCTCGTCAGGAAGAGGAACTGAAAGCTTGAGTGAAAGATGCTGTTGTCTGTGCAGTGCACAGAGTAGGTTTTTGGAAAAACTGACAGTCTCAAGAAAAGCAATGAATTTGAAGTAACCATTTTCCTCTGCAGCCTTTCTTCCCTGTTGCTAAAATGGGTAGAGTATACTCGCAGAACAAGACAAAATGCATTCACTTTGAACAATTTTCATGTGAACGTCTGTCCTTGAGCTAGTGCAGTGATATGCAGTAGATATCCAATTAAGACTTAGCAGTACAGTAAGTGAGTAGCTATTATAATTTCTTTTGTATTTCTCCTTCTGTTGACAAATTTTGTTATCCAGAAGCACTTCATGATCTTGAAGGGTTACTTGGAGATGAAAACCTGAGAACCAATACTGAAAGTGAACTGTGTAATTCTATGAAGAGAAAGGTTTGGAACTACTAGGAAATAAAGCTGCCTTGTGTCCATAGGCAGTTGTTGTGTTGTAGCATGTATATTGTGTAGTGTAATTGTAGCTTCTGTGTGACTATAATGATTTTAAAAATAAAGGTAAAAAGCACAAATCACTTTCCTTCAAGACCTTGTCTGGCAGAGTAATTTATTGTAAGTGCAGAGAGGTGTGTTCTGAGAGTTGCACTACGCCTGCTTTCAGTGTGCACAGGTCAATTAAAAATGGTTTCATATCAGCGGTATTTTAAGCAATAAAGGATGTTTCCTCAGTATTGGTCTCAGTATTTTTCAGCTCACGATAGGCAGTAGGCACCTTATCTGTGTGACGTAGGAGAGGCAGCTATCTGGTTTTGTATGAAACAAGCAATAAAACTGTAGCTAATGAGAGGAAAATAAACATCCACCCATTTAACCAGTTCATTCCAGTGACATACGTCAGTGGGAACCTACAGTCAGCTCTTCCTGAGTCAAGGGCTCTGCTTGGCTCACTCTGTTTTGCAGCGTTTTGCTGGTTTTCATTGGCTTGGGTGGAGGATGCCACGTACTGCAAGTATCACTTGCAGAGAGAGAATCACATGTGGGCTTAGCAGGGAAAGAGAATGCTCATGCCAGGGAGAAGGCACCTCCAGTACAGGCCTGGATGAGGAAGGGGAGGGAGAGGAACTAAGTGGCAAAGAAGGAGTGCAAGAGCAGAAGTGAGCAGGTCGTGCGAGGAGCAGGGTCAGCTCCAAAGCTTGGTCACGGCTTGGTACAGAAAAGTGGAACTGGGAACTTGAAGAGTGTTGAAATGGGCAAGAACGTGAATTGTCTAAAAGTGAGGGAATGCTGAGAACTTTGCTGAAGAAAATAAGTTGTTTTCCTTTTTTTTATTATTTACGTTGATAATGAGTTAGGGAAGGGGACAACATAAAGTCTCAGTCGTGTTCTTTTTAGTTCCTGAGTCATTATTACAGCAGTAAATAATAATTAAAAAAAAAAAAACAAACCCTAACAGCATGAAGTCTTCCTGAGGTGCTGCAGGTAACCTCTCTGACTTTGACAGAACCAGCATTTTGGTAAACGTGTGGAGCAAGGTCAGACTTGCTGAGGATCCATCCCTTCTCCCCGCTGCTTAGGGATGTTGAAGTCCACTCCGTTGTCCCTGCCTGGTTGATTTTTCTAGCTGTGGTAGATGTGAATGGCAGTGTTGCTTTTCACAATGTCTGCTCTGCAGAAACAGCTCTTTTACCTGGAGTGGAACTCAGATGGTTGGGTGCCAGCCCTTGTGGCCTGCTGTTGCCTAGCAGCATTACTGAGGGGACAGGCTGCAAAGGAATGGTTGCGTGCCTTTCTGAAAGCCTAGCATAGATACCACGGAGTAAAGCACAAAACCTGGGTACTGGGCCCAGGGTCATCTTTGGAGCTCCCTCTCCTAATTTGAGAGGCACAGTGAAAGAGGATGCAGTGAATCTGCTCTCAGACTGCCAACAAATCCATCTGTCAAATCAGCGACGTGATTTCTTAACAAGACTGTAATAAAAGCTTGTCGTGGAGGCAGGACGTGTGCTGTGTGAGGATGTGCTTGTAGAGATAAGGTGATAACGAGGCCTTTCAATAAGCAGCCTTCTCTGAGCTTCTTGGTCTTGCAGAATCTGCTGCTCTCCCTTTTAGCAAAGATGAACTTTGTTCCTGCAGACCATTAGGGTATTATTGAGAAGATGTTTGGACCCGCTGCCTTCTGAAGAAAGCTTTCTTTAAGAGAAACTGTGTGGAAATAGAATGGTGTGAGATGGCAAAGCTGTAGGTGGGGAGTTAGTTATCTACAAGGACTTGCACAAGGTGGGGTGAGGAAGCGCCGGCAGTAACAGGTTTGCTTGGGAGTAAGACTGGAGGAACAGTGGAAGGAAGTAAACTTTTTTTTCTCTCAAGAAAGGGAAATTACAGGAGCAGACATAAAGATATCTGGGAGAATATGCAGCTCCTTATTTAAAAACAAACAAAAAAACCCACTGAAAAGCAGCACAGTACACAACTTGTGTATTTTCTGTTTTCTATCCTTTGGCTGCCTGTATTGCTTTTCTAACCCCGTGCATATGTGATTCAAGCATGGACCCCTATCGCTAATGAATAAGTTATTGCTAGCTGTTGGGAAATGCTCTGAAAGTGTGAAAGGTTCTTTACGCTGAATTTGAAACGTTATTCCAAGACATTGAGATACGTATCTGAATTTTAGTGTGTAAAATCTTAGTGTTCTGCGGCTGTGCATCCACATGGCGTTGCAGTGTGCATGTGAGGCTGTGTTAAATGCAAAGCAACATCTTTTTCTGGAAATCTTGAGAAAAAGATTTGTGTTTGTACTAGCACATGAAATGGCATGGTGATGTTTATGTGGACATATTTTGCAGTGTTTGAATCTAACGTGCTCTTCCTAAAATATGACCATATTTCAATCTGACCTTTTTTCCCCTCCAGACTCTACTCTGTCTTGCTTACAGCTTTGCCAGACTTAAACGATTTGTACTGAGTCATCAACTATGTGCATCTGCCTGAATTGCTTGGTAAACTTCATCCACAAAGGCTTTGTTTCTTAGGGGAGTACAGCTCAGAAAAATGTGAAAATATTGGTATGGCAGGTTTCCTTTTGTTGGGGCGAAGGGCTGTTCTGTAAATGCTCCATCTCTAGGGCAAGCAGGAGATTTAATTGAGAGGGAGAATCTTTCAGAAATGTGGCTGATTGTATCCTCAAAGACATTCATCTGATGTGGAGGGCTGAGGCTGCAGCCATCTCAGTCCGTTCTTAAGCGCCGAGAGTAAATGCAGTTAGAAAGGAGGAGATGGATTTGATACAAACATGAGTGAGCTACGACTGATGGGGAGCAGGAATGAGTAGTGGTGATGCTCAGCAAGGTGAAGCTCTCTGCTTTCTGTTCTGCTTCTGGAACGTCATCTGAGGAAATAGAAGTTTCTGTATGAAATCTGTATGCAGTCAAAGCAATCTGTATGGAGTCTAACCAGAGCTAGACTTCTCCACTTGAAAAAGAGAAAGTGACAGCATTCAGCTTGACTCTTGGTAGAGATGCTGTATGTGAAGTTATGATGGTACATTATGTTCTGCGCAGCCCATCTGACGCATTCTGTGGAACAGTTTTCTTTGGGGCAGCCTAGGCTGTGTCACGAAGGATGCTGGTGTGTGTGGACCTGCTGGGCACTGTTTGTTTCTCACTGCGAGATGAAAGGACAGGAAGGTCCATTAGGAGAAGAGGGCATTTTAATTTCAGAAGAATAAATAAAGGATGGGGTCAGAAACTGCAAAAAAAAAAAAAAACAACAAAAAAACCCCTGAACATTGAAGAGCTGCTCTCTGGTGGAGCAGCATCAAACTCTGCACTGAATAAAGCAGGAACACAAGAAGGAAAATAGTATTTTAATGTTATCTAAGCAACAATTTTATATAGCTGTACAGAGAAGCTGAATTAAGTGTGGAAAAATAATCTTCTTCCTGACACTCTAGTTTTTTGAGTGCATAATTGTTCAGCCTGTGCATGGAAGGGTTTCCTGTGTGACTCAGATATGTGCTGCCTTTTAAAAACGTTATTGTTATTTAGAGAACTTACTTGAAGATGGCGCGCTTTGAGATGTAAGCCTGGGGAGAGCAGCACTTCAGCTGAGGCAGAAGATGTGAATCAAGTCGTGGGAGAGCACAGGAGGATCGAGCAGTGCAGGCACTTGGACCCTTCCTGAGCACGTACATAGCATGCCATGCTCTGCAGTGGCTTTGGTTCCCAAAAGGCAGCTGTATGGAGATGCTTCTGTGGGAGCCTGGGCACTGTGCAGTGGAAAGCTCTGGTGACCCTGCTGTCATCCAGACCCCTTATTTGTCTTCTTTGTAGTGCATTTCACAGCATCTTGAGAAGCTTCACAGCTGGGCTCGGTGTTGTCACATTTTCAGGTGTATTTGTTTTTTTGTAGAGCACCTTAGAAGAATGAGATTGCCTTTCTCCAGGAGGTGCTTTGTGTTTGCTTAGTGAAGGAGGCTGTCATCTTTGGACTTGTGGCCTCTCTGGCTAAAGAACTTGTGGGCAGTGTAGGCAAGGCTTGCAGGAGGAAGGAAGGCTTGTGAGTTGTGACTCAGTTGTGTGTTGATAGTGAGAAACCCTCTGTGATTTTCTTCACATAACACTGTATGAGAATGTCATGCTGGGGTGTGCATGCCAGCCCTGCTGTTGGGTGAAGGTGTTCCAGAAACCTGACGTGTCACTTACCTGCTATGTCTAGCAGTCTGCAAGTTTCCCAATGCTACGTCTTCCCATGGTTACCTTGTCAGCCCAATGAATTTGTTTGCCCATATTGTGCCTTCCAAAAGCTGTAAACAATTCAGAGATGATGGAGGATAAGAGAAATTGAAAGCAACGGACAAACTTTTTTGGCCTTTCTGTGGCATTTGAAATGAGGGAAAGCCTCTCTCTGCTTGTCTGAGGAAAAAAGATCCAGCTGGTCAAAAAGCAACATGACTCGAGTCTTCCTTTGTCTGCAACAGATTTTAATGTACTGGAGAAACCTGACAACCACACAAAACTCTGCTGCAGATGCCAAAGTCTCCAGTGTTCTTGATGCCACTGTCAGAAGCAGAGGAGAAACCCATGTGAGCCACGTGTACAAAAGGAGTATTGGTGTGTGGCTTAGGAGATCCAGCACAAGCACAATCCACGTGGCTGCTGTGCTTTTCTCACCAACGTGCTGGAGGGGTCAGGCTCCTGGAAAGGTGCCTGGTTAGAACAGTAATGAGATGCTCCCTATGGAGCCAGCTTTGTGAGTTCTGCTTAGCGAGTTCTGTCCCAGCAGGCATGGGAAGTAGTTCTCTGTGAAGGCATTGTTAAGCTCAACTGAAAGTGGTGATGGTAAGGGATAGGGATACCCTTACCAGAATGTTTTTTAGTATCCCGACAACTCGGTTTGCAAACAGTGTTTTGAACAGGCTTCCTGCCAACGGTGTGTGGTGTTAGGAAGGAACAGTTGTCAAAAATGTTCCCTTTCAGATGGCTAACCACTGTGCCTAGATACTGACACACTGAGATTCATAGCTGCTGCATCCGTGGTGTTACCATGGGACACAGTGGAAGCATTACTTGAGAAGATAATTTGTTATTATGGATCAGAGTAAACCTTTCTTTCTTCACCCACAGGTTCCAATCCATCAGAACCTTAAGGAGCTGCTCGCCATCCGCACTGAGCTGCAGAAGAAGGTTGAAGATCTGCAGCGGGAAGCAGCTACACGGTCCCTGTCCTCCTCCTCTGACAGAGGTTCATCTCCGTCCCATTCAGCCACACCAGTGCACACTTCTGTGTGATGTGTAACTAAAGCTGTGTGAAACAGTTCAAGTCAGGTAATACAAAGGGGGGGCAGAACGTTTTCCCACCACGCAGGGATTGAGTGGCTTGTGACAGCTGTGATCGACATGCCTTACTGTGTCTGATATTACTACAATGAGGCCAAAAAGAGCTTCAGTAGATGTGATGTCTTGTATTGTTGGCAGTCCCCACATGTTTTGACATCTCTACTTAAATCGTCAATTGTGAAATTAAACTTCGTTTCAAGCAACTAACAATTTAACCATCCTCAAAAGGGAATCCATCTGCTAAGCAGACAGAAAGATGCCTCTCACACTGCCTAGGGTACCATGCCTGCTTGAGAGAATCAGATGAAATGGACACGATGCTTACACAGAATACTGAGGACGTTTTTCTGAATGGGAGCTCTGTATTTCACACGGTAATACAATATATATATTTTTTTGGTAGAGCAATTGTGTTTTTTAAGGAAATTGATGCACTTGGAAATGGATTTTAAAGTAATGTTTTCCAGTGTAGTCAGTTTTGCATTTCAACTGAATATGCCATTAAAAGTGGATGAAGATAAACTGGGTTCGTCAAATACACCGTGCTGACGTGTATGATGTAATATATTTGGTGAAGCATGTATTTTAGTTTTTTTAATGCCTTTTGTACAAGTTGCAATAAAGTCTTTTGATGGTTTAGTTTATTGTTCAGCTTCAGCCTCCTGAGTGAGGGGTGGACTTGATCACATCAAGGTCTTGTTCAAAGTACGGGTTTGTTTCTAGCAAATAATAGCACTGGGGGTTGAAATGACACTCGGCTGTGCAAATTGTATAGTCTGTATCGCTCCACGTGTTGTTAGCAGTGTTTCATTTTAAACTGTACACAAAATGCAGAGGCATGTCTGTTCATATATGTGTGTGTGATGTTCAGCTGATGTTCTTAGGCTCTGAGAAAACGGATCCTGCCTACCCAAACGCGTTCAAAGACCTTAACTCGTAATGACTTTGTTTGACAAAGTTTTTTAAATAATATGAGCTTAATTGGTTTGCTTGGAATAAAGCCAGCTGGCTGTTTTTTAAACTCTCGCTAGCATTTTTTTTCTGTAAAGTGAATAATGCATCTCAGTCTTCATTTAAAATACAGATTCCCAACAGCAGTACCCAAAGGCATTAATACTTGTACAGGCACTTGATAGCTGTAACATCCAGCTTTTCAAGACGGCGGTGCCGTGGCCTCGGTACCAGGTGTACAGATGGGCTCTGTAGGAAGGCACAGAAGTGGTGCATGCTGAAAATCTTCCTGTTCCTTTTCCTCACTGTTTTGGGAGATTCTGGTTCCTCTCCTTGACGTGCTGAAGCGCTGCAGGTGTGCTTTCCAATTTGTGCTTCAAGTTCTGCCGCTGGGAATTGAGCCCTGTTAAGAACGTGACGCTCTGTATGGGAATGGAGTGCTTCACTCTGTGATAGCTGTGTGCTGTTGTGCTTCTGCCCTTAATGTGAGGCAGCACTTCTCTGTTTCTCACCATTAAGATGTGCAGCGTGCAGTAAATGAGGGCGGTGAGCTGTGAGTGCCTGCAGCTCCACCTGCAAGGCAGATGCACTGACTGTACTCCAAGTTTCCCATGCAGGGCTGGGTGTGCCTTCTGTGATGCAGCACTTTGTAACAGCTATTTGCCTGCAGGAACTGAGTACAGGCTGCTGCAAGGTGGCATCTCCTAATGAGCCTCATGCTTTTTATGAATAGGTGAGTAATGTTTCTCTGTTTTTAAAAGAAAAGAAAAAAAAGTTCTGCTGAAGTGATGGCAGCAGTGAGTTTTACATTGCCAAGATATGTTGAGCTGGGATTGAACAGAACTACCATGCTTCAGATTTCCCTGACGCTTTAACTGTACATTAAAGCAAAGCATTTTATCTCTGAAATGCAGCACTAAGGAAAATCTTTTGAAGTTTTCCTCTTTATTGGTGCTCATAGTCACAGTGTTTCCTCTGTAATTATTGTGGAAGTGCTGACCGGATTAGCTTAGGCATTGTGAGATTTTAAAAGCTTGAGTTCCTAGAACTGCAGTGTGAGAACTGTGCTGTGCCACAAAGGCTCCCTCGTACCTCTGCTGCTGCCAGTTCATCCGTGGGTCCCAGTGCAGCTCGGGGCATCTGCCTGACTGCAGGGGTGGGCAAGGATCCTGCTGTAATGTGGACATGGACACTTAATGCGGTGATTTTCAGAAATTCTGTGTAGGTGACATGGTAGCTAACGCATAGTTTTGTACCACAGAGGTGGTCAGTAGGCTGTATTCAGTCTGTCTCCCAATATTCAGATGTCTTTTCCTATTGATTTAACAATGTCCATCTTTTTTTTTAATCTTTAATAAGGCAGCATCGGACTGTTTGCAGTAAGAGCAGAATGCTGCTTCCTGCTTGATGCACCCGTACTGCTAACTCTAATTCAGTGCCTGCATTTTCTTTTGCTTTGTTTGTTGTTGACTCCTCGTAAAGGGAACGTGCAGAAGGACAGCAAGCAGTTCAGTTTCGCACTTGAGAGAGCCAACGATGTCAGCCCGGTATACCAGAATAGACTGAAGCCACGTGAAACAGTTGAAACAATTTTTGCTTGTGAAGTTAACTGTGCATCATCAGCATCAGACACTTTGCCACTTCAGTCCTGTTTCAGGGCTTAATTACACTTCTTCCTCCTCTGTAGATAAGTGTCAGTGTTCAGGTGTCAGAAAAATGGAAGGCGGCTTTTGAAGCTGGTGAGCAGCCTTATCCACCCCTTCTTGTTCCCCTCACAGGCAGCCCCTGCAAGCAGTTAGTGCTTGAAACAAGGAAAGTGACTTCTCCCCTGGTTTGAAAGAAAAGCTGTATTAAGCCACGTGCTGTATTTAGCAGTGCCAGGAATGGCTGGTTCCTCAGGACTGGAAATAAATAAGCCATCAGCAGCTCGCAGTTGGGTGGTTTGAGGACAGGGTAAAGCGGGCGGTTCAGAATATTGCCCAGGTGAGGATGCCTCGTAGCAGAAGATGCAAAAAGGAGTGCTGCTGGTGGCTGAGAGATCCCATCTGGATATCCTACCTCAGGCAGCCCTTGACTGCCAGGCCAACCATGTGCAGTTGGGAAGAAGGGATTTTATTTCTACCAGGAGTTGGGAGAAGGAGGTAGTTTGAAACCTGTCAGGCTAAGCAATTGTTACACAGAACCTTCATTTACATTGCATGGGAGATCTGTTCACTGGTTGTGAAAATGTAAACCTGCAGTGGTGCAACAGGCTGACAGCAGTGAGCGCAGTCAGCAGAGCACTGCAGTGCCTGAGCTCAGGGGCCTGAGGAGGAGAGGGATGACCACGTGTGTGTGCTTACGTCCTTGAACTTTTGCCATCGCATTACGGTCCCTTAATGATGCGTGTTTCCACACAAAGACATTTTGGGATGCATTGGGAGGGGTGTTCCTTCCACTGTTTTCTTACTGAAGTCTCCAGTGTCGTTGTAGAAGAGGTTATGTATAGAAAGCTATGGTGTGCCATTTGCAGTTGACTTGCAACACAGAAAAAAAATGTCCATAATGCCTTAGTAGACAGTTTGTTTTAATGTTTTCCAAAAGTCAGATTCTGATCTTTTCCCCCCGCTGACCCTTACATGCATACATCAGTGTTGGCAGAATTAGTCTTTTCACAGCAGAACATTCAGCCTTCATTTGCTATACACTGCTTCTGCAGCAGTCAGCAATATGCTTTGCTTTTGGATAAGGATTTGTTTCTGAACTTCATTTGTTCACTTTTACTACAGAACCAAATGTTAAGGCCTTACCCTGTCTCATCGTTTTGCTTTTTCAGGATCTGAAATGGTACAGTGGAGCAATTCTGCTGCTACAACAAATGAGTAATGAACAAGGGCAGAGCAGCACTTGCTGGGATTCCTTAATGAGGCTGCGAGAAAATGACTGAGTTTATTAAAGCACCAAAAAGAATCTGAAAAACTCACAACAGGGTATTCTGAACTGAAGGAGTCAATGGCACAGTATTCTAAAATGAAGAACCTGCTATGGTACAGCCAAAGGAAAATGCAAGCCATTGGTAAACAGTGGGATAAGAGCTGGTTAAGTCCCTTCAGTTCTGCTTTCTATGTAATTGTGAAAGCTTTTCTGAACCATGCTGTGAGAAAGAGCTTTAGCAAAGCTGGAGATGTGAGATGTCATGAGCAAAGAGCCCACAGCAAACCTCCCATGAGCTCTCAAGTCAGCTCTGTGTACGCTTTGGGACTTGGGGAAAAAAATAATATCCTGGTATTCCACTTGTTTCACTGCCTCTTTAAGTACAGGACAAGAAAGTTCATGCCACGTTCACAGAATTAAAGTGCAAGAATTTTACAAATGCCACGTTCACAGAATTAAAGTGAATGGGTACCAGTGAAATGAAGATGGCTACAGCGGCGAGCGCTGCGTCCCTTCTTTCAGCACTTCCTTCACTGCCAGGAAAATACAGCTGAGCGTTACATCGCTGCAATGCCTGAAGCAAGGGGCGAGGTCTGAGCTCCCCCCATCTCCCACCCACCTTCCAGGCAGACCGAGGAGGAAGCAGGCTGCATGAAGCCAGGGGAGCCTCAGCTGGCACTCAGCAATCACGGCTTTGGGGACGAGATTTTCTTATCTGCAGTATTGTCAGTATTTTCCCATCCTAAGTCCCAGAGAGAGATTTTTAATTCTCTTACTGTAAACTTCTGACAATGTCATCCCTTTCACTGCGTGTTTACATTTTTCCACCTACCCCAAACCTTGAAGTTACGTTAAGGCATACGTTTTCACTGAAGTCGTAAGAAAGGCCTGAGGGAAAGAAGCACTTTTAAGTGCTGTCTGCTTCTGGATTCTGAAAGGGCTGTTTTTCCTCAGTTAAACTGAGGAAGTACTTGTGAGTTACATGTGTGTTTCTTCTGTGTCCTGCTGTAACCACTTCCTAAAGGTTATGGCCTGTAAGCAATCCTAAGCACCCCCTGTCCCATCCACTGGGTGTGCAGAGAGTCATGGAAACATGCAGACAGTCTGCAGCTAAGAGAAATGGGGTTATATTTGCCTGATCTAATCTAAAATGACTCCTAGTGCTCATCAATACAGTGTTGTGACACCTCCTGTACAATCATTTTGTAAAAGCATTTTTCATGCTACAGCTTTCAAACCCATTCAGCTAAGAGAGGAAAGCCAGGTGATGGTGTGGGAAAGGGAGAAGCACGGCCTGAGCCTGGGAACATGGCTTTCCTAGCATCAGAGCTCCTGCCTGTGCCCAGCAGAATTCTCCAACCATCATTTCCCCAAAATATCTGACACTTTGAGTACACAAATGCAGGGAGTGTGTTCTGCATCTGTCTTAGAATCACGGAATGGCAGAATCACCAAGGTTGGAAAACCTCTAAGATCACCCAGTCCAACCATCCACCTACCACCACTAAACCGTGTCCCTCAGTACTGCATCGACGCGTTTCTTGAACACGGCCAGGGACGGTGACTCCAGCACTCCCTGGGCAGCCCGCCCAGCACCTGAGCACTCTCTCAGAGAAGTATTTCCTAACATCCAACCTCACCCTCCCCCACCACAGCATGAGGCCATTCTCTCTCTTGCTATTGCTCATTACACAGGAGCAGAGACTTACAGTCTCAGAACAGCTGAGAACTATTTTTTCTAACCCACTCACTTTTGTACAATGAAGTAGTGACAGTTAGTCTACAATACTGCTATTAGTGCTCTGGATACACGAGGCACCACGTATCCTTAGAACTCGTCTCCCTTACAAAATGCTGCAGTTGTTCTGCTAGAGCTAGAGTAAGGCTTTAAAAATGCAAGTGTTGAGAAGAGCACAAAGAGCTGAGTAGCTGTTACAAAGTACTTAAAACGTGGCTGGGCCGTTTCCTTTCGAAGGTTGCTGTGGGATACAAGGTCATAGAATGGCTTGAGCCAGAGGGACCTCCTGGATCATGGCAAGGCCTTGTGGCAGTCACATCTGCCTGACAGCTCTGAATCAAAGGAAGTGCTTTGGTAGTCCACGTACATTTGCACAATCTGGGATTTGCAAAACATTTTAAAAAATGCAAGTATTTCAGGGCTACATCTAAACTGGGAGTTCCTTCTGCGCTAGGCAGCCACTTCGCTTCCCATTGCTTTGGGAAAACGCATCACGAAGTGCCTGTCCCCACATCTTGGCATCAATACGAGGGGGCTGGGGAGGAGGAAGCAGCACCAAGGCGGCGAGGGCAGGCCTTGGCAGCAGCACTGTGGCACAGGAGACTGACGAGGGAGGTGGCTGGTTTGCTTTGGGTTGCAAATAACAGGCACTTTGCTGTCCTCACACCTGTAAGCAGTCCTTGCAAAAGACCTCGTCCTCTACCCACAGCGATTGCTGCTGAAGCACCCGCTGCTGGTTTGAATACAACTTGCAGTCAAACCTGCAGTATTCCTTCCATGTAAACATATTACAAAAAATAAACACATACTGCCATCCTAACCCTAAAGCCTAGAGCAGTAAGAAGCCAGTTCAAGCCTAAGGACACATCAAACAGCTTTGGATTCAAATGAAATAAATAGCTAAATTACAGGCAGGCGAGATCTCGGTGTTTGCTGCCGCGGGTTCCTCCCAGCAGAGCGGCTGGGGGCCGTGCCCTCACGCCTTCGCACCGTCGTGTTTCGGCGGCTCTGCCGACTGCGTTTCCAGCACTGAGTACTTAACTGGGGAGGAAAACAAAGCCGTTAGTGCCACAGCACACAGCTGAACATGAGCGCGAGCAACAGGTGCCAAACGCCGCCCGGCTGTACCCAACCTCAGCCTTTACAGCAGCCTCCCTTATCTGCGGCTGAAGGAAGGAGCACGCTGCTGGTGGCTGAAAACATCAGAGCTCAACATCGACTGCTGCCATTTGCAGGATGAGAGCCTTGGTGTCTCACCCTTGGTGTGTAATAAAGCAGGAAAAGCACCACGGTGGCTGTTACACAAAAAGCTGCAGCACAACCCGAGCGGAGCCTTCCCAGAGCCACCGCGCGGCTCCCAGAGCTCCCCATGGCCCTTGTGGCCAGGCCTCACCTTGGGGCTCCTCGCTTACGACAGCTTCCATGTTCTCCCCTTTCACGTATTCGGCATTAAGTCCCTCTGAGAAGCAACAATAAAGAGAGTGAGGTGGGAGGTTAGAAAGCAGAAATTGTTTGCTTTGTTGCCTTAAAACCTGTGGTAACGAGCCTGTGTTTTTTGAAAGCTAAGACTGCAATTTTGCAAACTCCTCTGCATTAACAGCAGCATAGAAACATTGGTAAACCATGACTGGTGCTGAGAAAGCTGTGCTGCGTTCTCAAGCCACCACAGAGGTTGGCTCAGATGGGCGAGCTTCAGCCAACTCTCCTGCATCAGCATCAGCCCCAGGAAGGAGGGCATGGCCGTGAGGCAAGGGCACACAGTGGGCCCACTGCTGTCCCCAGGCACGCATGCTGCTGGGATAACACCCAGTGCCATTCTGCTTCTTCAGAGAAAAGCCATTTCTGCAGTGGCTGACGGCTTGCAGATTGCTGTCTTGCATTGCAAGGAGTCTAAGGCCTGACATTAGCCCAGCATGCCGTGTCTGATGGCTTAAATTAATCCTCCTTTATAATTAACTTTAATTTCCTGCTGCCTTTCTGGGACTTTGTGCATCTCAGCTTTCCCCTCATCAAAGCCTTTACTCTCTTTTTTTAAAATTATTTATTCTTACCAAAATATCATTTAAGTGGAGGGAATATACAAGGGAGTTTCATTCCATCACATTCATTTGACTCTCCCCGCTGATCTAATATACCAAAACACTCCTGTTTGTTGAGACACAACTGGGAAAATAACATGATTCCCTCCCAAATTTCCAGCCCCCAGACACCCTTCCCCAGAGCACATGAGGTTCTCACGAGAATTCATGGGATTTCTTTGAAGGCAGCCTTTCCCAGCTGCCTGCACCTCTGCCCTTTGGCTGCACCCACCCTTACCGACAGCAGGGCTACGTGCCCCTGTAAGCCCCCACAGTGCTGTGCACAGCCCTCCCCACTGACCCTTCCCAAAGGCCAGGTGCAGAGAGGGTACGAAACAGCTGCTACCTCACCGGGGCTCTCAGGGAACACTTCTGTTGGGGGCTGGCCCAGAGCAGAAGAGCAGGTGCTGATCACCACAGCACTGCAACTGCAGCAACATCACACCCACCAACACTCCTTAGTTCCCATGCCTCAATCGATTCATCAACTGGAAAGCCAAGCATAACTCCTTCACCCTTCACCAGTCCCATATGGCCAGAGCAGTCTGATGGAGGCTGGAGGCAGACAGCAGACAGTTGTGGTCTGAAAGCTGCTGCTGAGTGCTGCCATGCCGGATATGCTAGAACTTCAGTACAAACTGGAATCGAGGGCAGCCGGGTGGGATGCCACAACCGCTGCCAATGCGTTCTCAGTCCCTTTGGCAGACAATGCATGGTTTGCCTTCACTTGGAGGGCTGTCCCCACACACCAAGTCCCACTCTGCAATCCTCCACCCGGCAGCCCTCCCACCCCCACCCGGGGCTCCTTACGCTGAATGCTGAAGCAGAACTTCTTCTGCTGGTAGGAGATGTAGCTGGAGACAGCCCCCACAAGTGCCATGGCCAAGGCACTGGCAATGCCGGCGATGGTGCCCGTTTCCACCCTGTTGTCTGCAGGGCACAGAAAGGCGCTGAGTGGTGGGGAGGTTTCCCAGGCCCCGCTCCTCCCGCAGCCCCCATGGCCCTACCTTGGCTGTCAGTGTTGCCTCCAGATCCTGCAAGAGAAAAGACCCGTCAGCAGCCCGGCCCTCACACAACCCCACCCCGCACTGAGCTCCTCATCGCAGTGTGGCATCCTTGTGCCATCAGAGGGGGCAGCTGCCTGAGCTGCGAGCTGGCATACCTGTACGTGACATGGGGGTGTCTAAATGTGACACCGGAGCAGCTGCATGTGAAGCTGGGACAACTGCGCACAGCTGGAGCTGGGAGAAATGGCTGCTGCTGGAAGCTGCAGCTCTGAGCTAGCTGCTTAAATCCCGCATTACAGAAGCAGGTCAGCACTGTATTAATGCCTTCAGTGCGGTTTGTCCTTGCCACGGTGATTCATTAAATGTCGACCGGGCTGGCGGTGTTCGCCATTTCTAACTCGACTGCCTTTAATATTTAATACCATGGCTCTCTGTGCAGGCTGAGCCAAGTGCAGCTTGTTTCCTGTTCCTGAAACCAGCGGTCGCATCCTGAGAGGAGGGACAGTGTCCATGAGGAGCGGGGTGACAGCCCCACAGGGTCAGCACAGCAGGGGATGAGGGCCAAGAAGCACCATTCCAACCCCACAGCCGTACTCCTTCTGCCAGGTGCTGAGGGACAACCTGGCATCTGCTGGTAGCTGTAGCGTGGGCTGGCTGGCCCAGGGCCACCAGTGCCAACCACTGCTACCAGGACAGCAAGCGTCCCTGCCAATACCCTCAGACCCACTGTGGGGTCTCCCTGCCATGGGGAGATGCCCTCGGGGTCCCTGCGGCATGGCCATCTCTGCCCCATGCTGGCGGCACCAACCCACCCGTGGGCCCTCCCTACCTTTCTTCTTGTCAGGGCTGTAGCCATCATCCACAATGCCTTCCAGGTCACGGTCCGAAAATCCTTGAAAAATAACAACAAACTGTGATTGGAGAGCAAAAAGAAATCATCCCTACTGCTGCCCTCCAAGGGGTGAGTGCTGCAGCCACCAGGAAGCAACGAGTGGAATGGGAAGTGAAAAAGAGTGCAGGTCTGCTCAGGGTGCAAGGGGCCAGAGAGCCCGGTTTCTGTCCCTGTCACAGCATCTATGGGTGCTTCCAGGGAGCATGGGGGGCTGGGAATGGGGCTGTGGGGGTTCTGAACCTTCCCAAGCACCATGTGGCTGGCAGAGCAGCTGCCAGCAGTACTGCCCACAGGAAGGCTGAGGCTGCCGTGTTCCCCTCGGTGTCCCCTACAAACCCTGTGGATGTTCTGAGGGGTTCTGCTGGGCATTTTGTGCAGCAGGAGCAGCTGCACCATGGCCCAGCGTGTTCCCACCAGTGGCTCCAGCTGCTCCATGAGCAAGAACAGATCAGGGTCAACAGACAGATCCCCTCCTTCACAATGACAGAGTTAGCAGAATCTTCAACCCCAAATTACCTTCTTTTAAGCTCATAAAAGAGGTAATAACTGACTACATCTTGCCTGAAAGAAAAGAGGATCATGGAGTGGGAGCTGGCAGTGGCATTAATGGAGCCATTGAACTTTTGCCCTTCCAGCCTGGGAGACACTCACCAGCTCACCAAAAAAAAAAAAAAAAAAAAGTGGTTTATGGGCTTAGTAATGAGTGTAAACTTTAAAGAAACAAAACAAAAGCAAGAACAGAACCAGCAGAGATGAAACCCTCTGCGATGCTGGGGCAGTGCGTGGCCATGTGCCACAGAACCAGCTGGCCACGGTGCTGCATTCCAGCACCCAACACCTCCTGCCTTGCAGTCAGAGCGTAGACCCCAAAAGTGCAGACAAGTCACCTAGTTAGTACAGCCTAATAAAGTACCTGGCTATTAATTACACGTGTGAGGAGGGCATACAGCCATCTCGACATCCATAAACTACCCGTGCAAAGTCTGTTTTCTAGCAGCAGTGCTCAAGGGAGCAATCCTTGCAGACAAATGACGCATTCACCGGAGCATTTCAGAGATGGAAAAAAAGTCCCTGGCCCTCGGCACGTGCTGTGCCAGGACCGAGCCTGCCCTGGGTTCACGTCTTGGCTATGACTGCAAACCCCAACAGCACTCAGTAAAACAGCCGTTGGGCACGGGGACGAGGGGAACGCAATAGAACCCCCTCAGCCTCAGACAAGGCATGATCCGCTTCTGCTCATCTCCAGCTTCTGGTAGCGATCTACTGTTTAATGGAGGGGTGCCCCGCAGTGAGCCTCCAGTGCTGGGGGGCTCCCACAGGGCCCAGAAACACACAGTGGTGAGAACAGCAGGGAGAGGGAAACCCATGTACCTTCCTCCGGCCTCACAGCCGGCTGCCTGCCATCCCTCGCATCGTCCCTATCTCCAAGGGCATCAGCCAAGTCCAGATCCAAAGGATTCTTCCCTGTGAAACAAGATGGGTTAGCAGCTCTAGCAACCTCCTTGATGCTGACAAGTAATCAGTCCAGGAAACGCTCCTGTCCAGTGCTGCTGCTGCAACAGATGCAGGAATCGCCCTGTGTAGTGGCTCATGTGCTTGACAACAGACAGACCAGATGGGAGAGCAGGCAGCAGGACGGGCCCACTGGCAGGCAGGCTGTCCTGCACTGCCCTGCCCTGCAGCAGGTGTCTGCAGAACGCAGCTGGCACCCTCAGGAGTGCAGTAGGTCAGGAGCTCAGCTCAAACAGAACAGCTTCAGACTGCTTTTGCTAAAAAGCAGCTAAAAATGTGGAACGGAGCCAGCCTGACCATCTCGACCTGCTTGCTATCTCATACATAAGTTTCATCTCACCTGAAATTGATGCTGAGCCTGGGAGCACTTTTTTGACAAAGCACTGCCCACCACCACAGGTATGTCTGTGCTCCTGCATGGCACGGTTACTCTGAGGCCTCTGCAGCTCTCACCTGAACAAAGTGGGGCTGGACACAGCGTGGCTGGGCAGCTGCACTCACCTGGGTTCTGTTTGCGGGGGGTCTGTGTTGTTTTTGGCCGCTTGGTGGTGGTGGTGCGGATGACATCCCAAAAGCCATTGTCTGAAAGTGCCACAGAGGGGAGAGAACAAAATGCTGTTACCCTCCCAAAGGTGCACCCAACAAGGGCCCGGCTGTACGCAGCCCCAGCTCCCACAGAGCAGCCACGGGCCGGGAGACGCACCTGGCTTCCCTGGCCGTGGGAAGGGCCTGGCAGTGGGCCTGGCAGGCTTGTTGGTGGGCTCCACTGGGTTGTCGAAGTAATCAGCTAGGTCAAAGTCTGTAGAGAGAGCAGACGGGTGAGCCTGAGTGCTGGGGCTCTGTGTGGGCAGCCCCTGGGACATGGCACTGCTCGGCGTGTGAGCAGGGATACGTGGCCAGGGCCGGGCATGAGCATCCTCCAGTGCGGCCGGAGCTTGGATCCGGGCAGCCAGGGATCTGACCACCACCATTGGAGGTGGTTTTGCCTGGATGGGAAAATGCCTGGCAATGTTTGGTGAAAGCCAGGGATGTCCTGGAGCAAAAGCTCTTCCCCAGGATCAAAGCCAGCCGGTGCAGCTCAGCCGTGACCTGTGTCAAATCCATTACAATACTGCAAAGCGTGCAGAACTCAGCTGTGGCCATAAATGTTCTCATGTTGGCTGCCTTCAAAACAGACAGAAACCTCAATAGTGCATTTACGTAGGCACAGGTGTGCAGCATTGCCAATGGAGAGAGAAGACACAAGGGACACAGCGGCTGCGCCGTGATGGTGGAGAAGGCACCATCAAGCAGTGCAGGCAGGGGAAGCTCAGGCAGCACAAGCAGCCACTGCAGCACAGCCTATTGCCAACCAAAAGGTGGTTCACTGCCAACCAAGATTCTGGCACCCAAGCTGCTGCCAACAGCACACAGCCGACACTCGCTGAAACAACACGTGCCAAGAACATCTCACCTCTCCCTCCTGTCCCACCGGCCGGCTTACTGGGCCTCTTAGGTGTGGCTGTGATAGAAAGAGGAGTAACATGTTAGCCATGGGCATCACCAGAAACACTACCTCTGCCCTGAGAACACAAGGCTAGGAGTTGGTGGATGAGTCCACCAGCATCACAGCCAGAGCTCTGTGCCCTGCCTTTGTCCCTGTGACACAGCTGCAACTGCACACAGTGGGAGCCCAGGGGAGCCCCATGCAGGTCCAGCCCAGAGCTTGGCTGGGGCAGATGCCAAGCAGAGAACTCCTCCAGGGGACAACTCCAGGAGACAGAGCAGAGAGGAAGCAGCAGCAAGCTGCTGATGCTTGGCTAGCCCCTGCCCACCAGCCACTGCACTGACAGCAGCTCCCAGCACTGTGCCGCAGACCGGAGCTCCCCATCTGTTGGAGCAGTTCTGCAGACGCCCCAGTGCTCAGGGCCTGACTGCTCACAGGGCAAAACAAGCTGCCATCGGCTTCGGGAGGTGGTTTTATTTATTTTGCTGTAATTTTTATTTTCCCCGCAAACCATCATCCATTAACAGTGGTTAGCTTTATGAAGTATATGAATAAATTATGAGCAAGAGTTGTGGCCGCTCCATCCCTATTAATTTCCATCTGAATGCTGGAGTGCTTCTGCTGCACCCATGTGCTGCCAAGCCCCTGCGATCTGCGCCCTGGGACAGAGCAGCAGGCACGGGGCTCACAGGCGGCTCCCATGGGCGCAGGCAGCTCTGCCAGGGGACTGGGGCCAGACTGCATCCTCTGCCATCTTGCAGAGAGATCCGAGTGGACACGATGCACCTATTACTTCTTATTTTTCCCTTATTTTGTAAGGGGTGAATGAATTTGACTTACGCCATACGGGGCCGAGGGCATCTTCTAGGCTGAATTCCCCTGGGTCGTCCCCACAACCTGTGGACAAAGAAGCAGCACAGGAGTCACTCAGTGCACACGACGTCAGTCACCTCCACACACAGCCTGGCCAGGTGCCTGTGCTCAAATTGCTTTGGTTTTAGAGGGCTTTTTGCTAAATGTGACCCATCACCAGCGACGAGGAAGACATCAGCCTTCCCCAAACCCGTGACTGTTGGATTGCAGAGCAGTCAGCTTCGGATTTTCCATTTGTCTGCCCTAATGGATGCGGTATAAAAACACACGCCACGCTTAAACTTGTCAAGCGGCGCCCACCAATTCATCTCTCTGGCTGCCACTCACCCACAGCTGCAGTTGTGCATTTGCTGAGCACTGTGCAGACTTCAGAGCGGAGCAAACAGACTCGGTGAACAGGCAGAGCTGCGCCAGGCAGCCCCACGGCAGCGGGACGCGATGTGGGAACGCCGCTGCCTCGACGGCCCACGAGAGGGGCCCGCAGCTCCGCCAGCGCCCAGCCCGGCCAGCCCTGCCGCTCCTCCTCTTCCTGCACCGCGTTAATTACTGTTGACTTACCCTCGTTCTGAATGTATTTGTCTTGATAAATTCATGCTTTTACATCTCGGAGCATGCTGAGTAATTAATATCCTTTGGGTTTGCTAAGCGCTGCGGCGCTGCGAGAGAACATTAAAATGGCTTTCCTCTCATTCCTATCACTAAATGGATTTAGCTGCCGCCACCTGAGCTCCGGCGCGCTTCATGAATACATTTACGGCCCTCCCGACAAGGACAATGGCAGCCGCGAGGCAGCGCCCACCAGAAGGCTGCCAGCCGCGAGTCGGCCGAAAACTTTCACGGAAAGCGGCGCCTGAGCTGCGACGCGATGCCCTGCGTGCGGCCCGGCAGCTCCGGGAGCCGAGCCGTGCTCCAGGGAACCCCAGGCGGCAGCAGGGCAAGGCCCGCCCCGAGGAGCGTCCCCGTGCTGCCGTGAGCCTCCCCACGGGACGCGGCGCACCCGGTGCATCGCAGCCCCAGCCCCGTGCGCGGGCGCTGTGTCGTTGTCACGACCCGCCTGGGCATCCCGCGGCTGCTGGCCGGCAGGGAAAGCGGGCACAGGACCTGTTTGCCGTACTTTCCTTCCATGCGGCGACCCGAAACGTCAGCTCCCAAAGGGCAGCGCTGCCGGGCCGGGCAGGGCCGGGCACTGCGGTGTCCCGGCTGCCGGCTGGGGGCAGAGAGCATCGCACCCCCATGCGTCCTCCCTCATTGTTTCTGCGGCAGGCAGCTCGAGCGCACGGCTGTGCTCGTCAGCCTTTTCGTCCATACGATTACATACGATCTAATTAAGCCTCGCAGCCTGGCAGAGCTCAGCGCACAGCACCGCAGCTCACGCGCAGCGCACCGGCTGCGCCACAAGAAGCGTGCCGCCCTCCGCTCCCAGCGCGGCTCAGCACCGCCCCGTGCAGCACCGGCCCTGCGGCCGCCCGAGGAGCCGGGAGCCCACGGAGGGGGCTGAGGGGAGATCTGCCCTGCTGCCCTGCTGCCCTGCTGCCCTGCTGCCTCGCTGCCCCGCTGCCCCGCGCCTGCTGCGGCCGAGCCTCCGCACCCAGGGAAGCATTCTGATTTCCAGAAGTACTAATCAGAATCACTACTGATTGAGGAAAAAACAACCTCTGCTATATTTTTTTTTTTTTTCATGCAATTAACAAGAGTATGGTAATTCCAAGCAATCTTGCTCTTGAGATTAAAGGAAAGCCTGACAGGAAGCACATGAATAAAGCTTTAAGATGAGAATTTGCATAATGAAGACTTTCTCTTTGCAGAGAGGCTGATAGAGGCCGCGTCCCACCTGCCAGCAGCAGCACCACCAGCACCCTTAGGGGCAGCGGGACCTGCAGACCCCATGGGAGCCGCAGCACCCAGCCCACACTTAAGGTCAGACAGCCCCAGGGCTCCCTGCCATCACCACACTGTGAGTGGGCAGCAAGCTGTCCGTGCCGATTCAGGCTCATCGCTCTGAAGCCAGTGGCGTGGGGCTCCTGACACACGCTGTGCTTTGCCCATTCCCAAACCTGCCTCCCAGGGCAGGGGCAGCAGGAATCATCACTCCAGCACCTGCAGGAAGCACGGACCCGGCTCAGGCATTTGCCATGCCTAGCGATGCTCAGGAAACACAGAGAGTTCCTCTTCCTCTGCACACAGGGCACAAACCACAGGGCTGCCCGCACATTTCCCCTGGCACAGTGGATCACCACAGGCTGTGCTCAGTGCTCAGATCACAGATCTGATTTCTGCTTACACACACAGCAATGACTCCAGGTTTGCCCAGGGGCAGAGGTGCCTGCTCACCAACCAAATGACAAATTGTGGCACCAGAGTTGTTCATTTCTAGTCTGACACAGAATAAGGAATGGCAAAGCCAGGGATGCAGGAGCCCGAATAAAACCAAAGCAGGAGATTAAACAACACCTGATTCCCTGCTGGGAGACTGCTCTCATCAGATAGCGACCAAGAGGAGGTGCTGTAGTTCAAGTAGGTAAACAGGGAATTACGTGGAGAACAAGCCAGTCCCTCACATGGAACTGCTCCTGCCTTGTTGTGCCGGGGGAAGTGGATTGCTCCTGGAAACTGATTTGGACGATGCTGGCAGATGGGACACAGAGAGAGGGGCACAGCCTTCAGCATCACAGAATCACAGAATCACCAAGGTCAGAAAAGACCTACAAGGTTGTCCAGTCCAACTGTCCATCTACCACCAGTATTTCCCACTAAACCACGTCCCTCAGTACAACATCAATCTCCCCCGGCACAACTTGAGGCCATTCCCAATCATCCTATCACTGATACTGGGAGCAGAGGCCAACCCCTACCTCATCACACTCTCCTTCCAGGGAGCTGTAGAGAGCAATGAGCCTGCTCTTGCACCTGTGAGACATGTCCCTGCCTCAGTGCTGGGGACATGGCAGGGGTTATTCCAGACCCAGTCTCTCCCACTGCCTTCCTGCCCCCTAATTCCATCTGCCTCCCTCCACGGCATCCCCACTGTCCAGCTGCTGCTCCGTCTTCCATGGTTTTAAGGGAACAGAATACAGTTGTTTAAGCCTGACATGAACTACTTCTCTAGATGAGGAAATGTGGAGGACCTGGTTTAATCACCTATTGCCACAGAGGCCACCTACGTAACCAGAGCGGTTTGCTATTCATGGGGCAGGAAATGATTGAGCTGTATGCAAACAGGCTCACTGAGCCACAAGAAGTGCAGCACTGAGCCTCTCACCTCTCTCAGCCTGAACTGTGGAAGCAAAGAGCACGACCAAGGCCTGGTTTCCCTGAGCTAATCCCAACACTGGAGTCTCAAACCTCCAGGAGATATTTTTCTAAGAAGAAACAAACTGGTCTTCAAGCAGAGCACAGCTGACAGTTCCTTCAGCTCAGTGCTGCTGTCCATTCGGGCAACAGATGCCAGGGAAAAAATGACAGTTTTGTATGGAGAAACTAACCAAAAGTTAGATGGCCACTTCTGAGCACGCTGTCACTGGGCTCAGAGAAGAAAAGCTCTAAAATGCAGACAGGGGTACGGAAATCAACTGCGTCCAAAGCTCCGCTCACAAGTATCTGGGCACAGCACATTTAATTAACACAGATTTGTTCCAAGATCAGAGATAACTTCTAACAAAAGCTTCTCCCACTTTGCCAAAGACCATCAAGGTAAAAATTATTCCTTAAACGCAATGCTACCGATATCTAGCAATGATAAATTCAGTAACATAACCACGTCTTTTAACCAATGCTGTTTGCAAACGTAAATGCTTTGCACGACAGCGGAGCCACGCTGCGCCACGCTCCCACCCCGACTGTCCCCACAGGTGGGTGCAACACTTTAGCCATGATCACCAGCTCTGGGGCTGTGAGGGGGCACTGAAGGCTCTGTGAGATGCAGGGTGGGATGCAGAACACCGCCAGCCCGTGCTGCAGCTCCACTGATGTGCCAAGCCACTGCTCACTTGTAATCAGATTCTCTCCAGGTTTTTCTTATCTGTGCATGTCCTTTCTGACGGGTCTGCCAGGGATAACCTCGTGCTCTCCGTGGGTGCAGTGACCTCAGCGATCAGATGTGCCACCTTTCCATGACAGCACGTCAGTGCCATCCATGCAGGCTTATGGACAGGAGACTTAGAAGAGGCCCAGCAGTGCGGGCAGCCCCTGTTCAGCTGCGTTCTGCAACACCTAGACAAGCACTTGGCCAAACCTGAACGGCTCAAGCCTCCCTGCTTTCTGGAAAAGCCACGGATCTCCGCACTAAATCACCGTGCCAGCAGAGCCCTGGCTCTGGTAAAGCTCTGCAGAGCAGAACCCGTCCAGCTGCTTTTCAGCCCACAGCTCTGTCCGCGATCCTGCAGCCGGGCGCTGGGATTCCGGTGCTGCCCCGGAACGGCGGGAGCCGAGAAAGCGTGAACCCGCAGTGCCGGGCCGGAGCCCCGCAGCACGGCACCGCCCCGCACCGCCGCCCTCGCCCTCCCCGCGGCCGCCGCCAGCCCCAGGAGGGGGTCGGGGCCGCGGAGCCCCGGCAGCCGTGAGCGCTGCTTTGTCCAAGCGGAGCCGGGCGCCGACGGCGGCTGGGGAACCTCGCAGCGGAGATCGTGCTGATGCGCAGCGGCCCGGAAACGTTTAGGAGCCGGACCTGCAGCCAAGCACCTGGGGGTGGCACAGAGCGGCATTTTCGTTCGGCCGGGCCGCGGGCAGCGCGGAACGCCGGCAGCCTCACTGCTGACTAATCGCGGGTTTGCCGCTTTAATCTCAAAACGGGACGCGAGGCCCGGCCCCGCAGCGCTGTGTCACACCGGCACCGAGCGCTGCGCTACGGCGCACGGACAGCGCGGCGGGCCGCCACTGCCAGCTCCCTGCCGGCTGCAGCCCCGCGTCCCGCAGCACGTCGGGGCTGGGCGGAGCGCAGGGCCCTCTCTTCTGCGGCCTCGCACATCGCCGCCGGCTGTCTTATCGGCACAGCCTTTAAAAGGGCTCTTTTTGTTTTTTCTTCCTATTTAAAAGAACAATGTAAGAACAAAAACAAAAAAAGCCTTTTAGAATAACTTGTCTCTGGAATAAGGAAACGAGAGTTGCGGTAAGCTTTGCATTGATATCTATCCCCAAAAAAAGGACGCGGGTTCCCCCGCGCACATCGCGCTGCCCGGCGGCACCACCCCGGCTCCCCGCGGCCCCGCAGGCTGCCGCGAAGCCTCCGGCTCCGGCTTTCTCGCGTCCCACCGGGCCCCGGCAGCGGGAAGGCGGGCGTCCGGCCCCCATTCCGGCCCAGGCCCGGCGCGGCCACGGCCCCCGGGCCGGGAGCGGCCGCCACCGCGCTCCGACCGCGCCGCGGAGCCCCGCGCCGCCCGATCCCGCCTCGCCCTACCTGCGCCCAGCAGCGCGGCGGCGGCCAGCAGCCCCAGCAGGCGGCGGACGGCCATGGCTCGGGGCGCTGCGCGTCTGCCGCGGGGCGCAGCCGCTGCCTCCGCCGGGCGGGGCGGGGCGGGGCGGGGCGGAGCCGATCCCGGCCGCTGGCGTGGTGCCGGGACGCGGCCGGGCGCGGGGCCGCGCCGCTCGGAGCCGGGTTGGGAGCCCGGCGGCGGCTGCGGCGGCTCGCGGCCCCGAGAGCTGGAGCGCGCACCGATGCGGGTGTCCGTCCGCAGTGACATTACAGTGCAAACGTCGCGTGTCGTTGGCTCGCTGCGGTCGTTCCTCCAACCTCGGGCCCTCGCTTCTTTCTGAACTGGCTTGAAGCTGGGATCCTTGCGAGGGCGCTGGCAGCGAGCGGGGGGACCCGCAGGGGGACGGTACTCCGTCCCACGGTGCCTTAACGGGCGCTGCCCAGCTCTTCGTGCTGCTTCCGAAGTCCCGTCATCTCAACATGCTTTGGTTTCTGAGCAAAAATATGTTTAAAGGGAAGGGAAAATGCTCAGCAGGGAAAATAACTTCTGGGGCAAGTAAAAATCTGATTCAGGATCTGTTCCTTGCAAAATGTACACAGATAAAATAGGAGGTGTGAAATGTGCAACTTGTTAGATGGGGGAGCCCCGCACAGGCCCCAGTCAGTCGCCCTTGGTAAGTGATGGACACATAACAAGCACCAATTTCACTGCTGCTTTAAAAGCAGAACGAGCTGTCATGTAGCAATGCACAGCCCTGCTGCACGGTTAGTGGTAATGGAAAGTGAAAATACCATACACAATTTTACACGAGCAATTTCACAGCCACAATCACATTTCCACCCGCAACCACCTTTTGTCTGCAACACTGTTGCTTTAGGATACTGTTTCCAAATGAGGTACATGGAAAAGTGGGACATGATAAAGGACAGCCAACGGGGCTTCTCCCAGGTCAGACCCTGCCTGGCCAACCTAGTGGAGTAACTGCATCAGTGGAGAAGGGAAGAGCCACTGATGTCACCTATCAGACTTCAGTAAGGTCTTTGACTTTGTTCCCCATAACATCTTTTTCTCCAATTTGGAAAGATATGGATTTGATAGGTGGAGTGTTTGATGGACAAAGGTCTGGTTGTGAGATTGGACCTAAAGAGTGCTGGTCCATGGCTCTATGTCTGGATGGAGATCAGAGATGAGTAGTGTCCCTCAGGGGTCAGTGCTGGGCCTGATACTCTTTAATATCTCAATGGTGTGCCCTCAGCAAGTTTGCAGATGACACCAAGCTGTGCAGCACAGCCAACATGCCTGAGGGACAGGATGCCATGCAGACAAACTCAGACAGGCTGAGCAGTGAGCCCAGGATAACCTTATGAGGTTCAACAAAGTCAAGTGCAAGGTCTGGCACCTGGGTCATGGCAACCCTCACTACCAGGGCAAGCTGGGGGGTGTAAGGATGGAGCACAGCCCTGCTGAAGAGGACCTGGGGTGGATGGCAGCTGGAATGAGCAGCACTGTGCCCTCACAGCCCAGAAAGCCAACCGGATCCTGGGAGCATCCAAAGCAGCACAGCCAGCAGGGCGAGGAGGGGATCTGCCCTTCTGCTCCGTGCTGTGAGACCTCACCTGGAGCGCTGCGTCCAGATGGGGAGTGCTCAGCACAGGAGAGACACGGAGCTGCGACAGATGTCTGCTGTGACAGGACCAGGGGAAATGGTTTTGAACTAAAAGAGGGGAGATTTAAATTGGATATAAGGATAAAGGCTTTTACACTAAGTGTGGTGAGGTGCTAGCACAGGCCACCTCTCACCCAGAGAGATGGTGGTGCCTCATCAGACACAGGGCTGAATTGGGCTCTGAGCACCTGATGGAGCCTTAGGCGTCCCTGTTTGTTGTAGGGGAGTTGAATGAGGTGGCCTTCAAAGGTCCCTTCCAACTCAAACAATTCTATGATCCTGTGAAATACAACTCTTTCTTTTGCTAGTTTGGGGTTGACAGCCTGCAGCCTGGCTCTGCAGAGCAGGTGTGTGGGGCTGTTGGTACTGGCTTGTTTTGTCACTGCTCTGCCTGCAGGAGATGCACAGACTACAGCTGTACCAAAAGGTGAGAGGCGATTGGCAACTGCAGCGCTCTAAGTCGCGCTCTAATTCACACCCTAAGGAGTCTGATGGTACAGAGGCCCCAGGCACTTCCAGTAGGTGCTCAGAGTGGTTATGAATATTCCCTATTGTGTGGAACTGCTGCTGCAAATGTCTTCACCCTGTGTAAACCAAATGCTTTAGCCACACTCTTAAAGAAGTGTGAGTAGTTCTGAGATGGCAATTCTCTGAGCGCGTGTTTATTTGGGACAGTCTCCTGGGCCATCTGCAGCCTGCAGATGCATCAGATGCATCTTTGGTTGCCAACCTGGCTGCCCATGCTCAGGTGTGGGCCGGGGGGATGGCGCTGCCCCATGTCAAGGGATGAGCAGGGCAGCTGGGGGGATGTGGTGTGAGGTGTTCTGTGCTGAGGCTGGCCGGGGCTGCTGGATACGGGGTGTGTGCTGATGGAAGGTACCTGCTGATCCCTGAGCATGGGGGCATGGTTTTAGAATAAAAATGTTGAATCATAAAATTAAAGGGAGAAAAATAACTCTGGCCTGACCTGGGATGTTAGACCAGCTGCTTGGTGCAGGTCTGCATGCACTTCTGGTAACCAGACTGCTGGGACGGCCTGTGGGCCTGATGAAAGGGTCCCAGGAGCCACCAAGGCTGTGGCACAGGTGCATCCGGGTGTCACCAATGGGACCCAGCCCAGATGGATCTGTCCCTGTGTGGGGCACACAGGATGCACCCTGCAGCCCACAGCCTGTCCCTAGCTGGGTGTGGGGCCGGGCCATGGGGCTGCAGGCTGGTGGCAAGGCTGGGTCTTGCTTCTTCAGTGACTCATGTGGAGGAACAGTCCGGCGCTGCGGTCAGCTCTCATCATCTGCCAGCGCAGTAGAGACTCCTGTTTGTTCTCTGGGTTCCTGAAAAGCAGCACAACCTGCTGTTTTCTTTCTTTTTTTTTTTTTTTAATTTTCCACTAGGGACTAACAGTGCTGCCTGAGAACCTGGGGCCGAACCCAAAGAAAACATGTCTGGAGAAGCAGCATAACTGCTCTGGCCAAGCTCTCCGCGTTTTCTCAGACTCCAGCAGTCTGCAGAACACAGAGGGGTGACAGAGTGTGAGGTGATGTCCAGCGGTTGGTGAACAGCTGCAAAAGAACTCTCTGCCTTTCCCAGCAGTTAATAACTTCATGCACAGAACAGAGATTTTTTCAGAAGGACCCCATGTGTTTTTTGGCTGACTGAGGACTGGCAAGGAGTGCTCATAGTTACTAACAGTGAGATTTTATTTTATTTTATAAAGGAGGAAAAAAAAAACAAAAAAAAAACCTCAGACAAACAAACTACCTTTCACCAAAACCTTGGTTCCTATTGCTTAGAGCATGCAGCATTACTTGCCACAATAAAATGGGGCACAATGCAGCCTTATTTGGGCCAAGAAGTGTGGCAACATTTGGGCAGGACTGGAATGCCAGCAGCTGAGGTGCTGACTTGCTTCTTCCCTTGTGTGGGATGGGTGACCTGTGTGGCAGGTCGGCGGGTTGGTGCAGAGGGCACTGGAAGGTGGGGAAGGTGGTTCTGTTGGCACAGCCTGACCGCTGGCTCTTGGGAAGAAGGAAGGCTGTGTCTGCTTGGCCCCTGACCCTAAAGGAGACCTTTAATGTAGCTGAATTGGGCACCTCCCCTGGGAAGGGCTTTGAGGCCAGAACCTCAAGAAAATGGACAGACTTTCATGTACATACGTCACTAGAAAATTACTGTGCTCTCAGCCTAATACACACTCCATCTTGTACAGTGTCACCTCTTTTCTGGAAGGATTTGCTTGCTTGCTAGTCATTCTACTTTTAATAGAAAAGTTCCATAAAGTGAATAGAGGTTATTTTAAATAAGGAAACCAAAGCATATTGAATCCAAAAAGTTTGGGGTCATTCTTACAGTTATATTTTGTTTTTTCTTCCTAACCTGCCATAATGTTTTGCAACTTGGCAGTGATTTTACATTACATTTTGTAACAGCTTCAAAACCCTCTGGAAAAGCACTTCTGTGTCTGGTGCTGTAACACCACTAGCAGGCCGAGGGAGCAAGAACCAACCAGTGCTGGAGGTGGTGTCCGGTGCTGGCTGCACACCCCATGTTACCTGCATAGGTTCTGTGAACCTGTGATGGCTCTAACTCTGAACTTTGGTGGTCGTTGCATTTTATAAGCCCGTGGGGGGCATACAGGGATTGCTATTATGCATCATCTGAAAACAGGACCGTCTGCCAGCCCCGGCCCCACAGCGATGGGAGCTGCTCCCCATGCTGCCGCTGCCCCACCTGCAGGCAATGTGCATGGAGCCCTGCGGCACGCCGTGCCGGGAGGAGCTGAGCCCCGGCTGAGCAACAAGAGGAGCTGGTGGGTGTTTAAATGCCGACTTAATGAATAGAAAAAGAGCTGACACTGTTTTGACACATGCTTGAAGTGATTGCATTTTATGCTCATATAGTTTTGAATTTTTTTCCTGTCTTTAGTTTAACTCTTTTCCTTTCCCTCTCGCTGTTGCTGCAATCATAATGCTTTTTCTACGCCCCCCGTCCCCCACAGCCTTTAGCACTTCACTGACTTTAGGTGCGACGTTACAGACTTGCAGGAGAGCAGGATGTGTGCCCTGGGAATGCACACGAGAAGAGCATCCGCGCCCCACAGAGCGTCTGACACATCGGGCACAAGGTGACTGCAGGTGTGAGCTGTGCTGGCAGCAAGGAGAGCCCCCGTGCTGCACAGCATGCCTGTGTGTGCATGGATGTATCTGGGTCTGGCGCTGTGTGACCTCAGTTTTGTCCTCTGTGCATCATCAGCTCCCACGTGTGCCTGTTCCCCCACTGCCATTGCTTGGGCAGGTGTGATCTTGGTGCCAGGGGTCTGCCCATCAGCACAGCCCTGCACTGCCAGCAGTGCAGTAACCTCACTGTGTGCCCAGACAGTATTCCCTCTGATGTCAAAGGTTTTATTTCCACTGAGAAGTTAGTGAGTGTTGCAGATTTTGGAATATTATGCACATTAAGCCATCAGTCTGGACTGTGTTTTCCTTACTGTTGTCATGTGAAACACTTAGGGGTGACTCTAAGTGTAAGTCTCTGTTACTCTTTCATTTTGTTCATTTGATGGCGGAATTACTGGCTGCTCAGTTAATTACTTTCTCCTGCTGTG